ACGCTGTCTCACAGCGTACATCTTATGTAAATGAAACCAATTCTTCCTTTATCCTTACGAGTGCAATCAATAGTACTAAAAATTTGAAGCCATAATAGTTAAGTGATTGAAGTTGAAGAAAATAAACGGCAGTTACATAAGCGGGTTATAAATGTCAGTTTGGCTATTGCAATAGGTACTTAGTCGTGACTGAATGGCTGCTCAAGTTTTTTTTTAGATTTAAAATAGGTACCATTTTTTATTTATCTTTTTTGTTTAGGAGCTTTTGTCCGATGACATGAGAGCTCCATCGAAACAAACTAACGAGTACTGAACTACTAAATTAAGAATTATAAAATGATTACATTAGATTTCGTACTTGTGTAATTTACTGGCAGCATTCCACTAAACTACACAAGTACAAGGCGGCTTCGGGTTTGCTCAGAACACTCTCCACACTCCAACTTATTTATTTGAAATTTAGTTATAAATATGTCTCTTTGAACCTGATTCCGCTCACATTCCATCAAAAGATGCTGCACGTCCTCAATTGGTTGACATATTTCGCAATTAGGTGTATTTACTTTTTTCATCATAGGTATATACAAACTTCCTTGATGGTATGTGACCGGACCTAATTCTTAACATTAATTTTACTTTTCTCCGACATATTTTAGTATATATAAACCACGGTATTCGAGGAAGCTCACTTTGTATTGTTTTGTACCAAATACCTTTTGTTTTGAACGTTCATTAAAATATTCTCTCCACTCTTTTTGACACTCTAATTTTAACTGAGAAAAGAATTCGGTGTTGCACGGTCTGATGTCGCACTCTATTAAATAAGTACCTATCTACATCAATTTGCATCACGAATATTATTGTTAGGCTGATGGAAATAAATATTGCAATATTTATTTATTTATTTTGGTTACATGGAAGACAAACAACTTATCTTAATATACTAGAAATGAATAGTAGCGACAAAGAGCCAATTACAGGTCCTCACATCTAGACATAACTTAAAGTTATAAAGAAACTATTTGCACTGTCCAATGTAAAAAATCTCTTAAATATAGTTTTATAAATGAGGTACTTAAGATAAATAACAGAATAACAAATTACGCACATGTTAAGCACATACATACACTTGTCTATGGAATTAAAGTCTGGAATAACTGTTTATTATTATTATTATATTAATTTATAATCTCCAAAAAACAAACGAGCAATGATACGTCTAATCGACACCTCGCTAGTGTTAAAAAGATCTAAATTTACCTGTTTTGATAAAGAGTTGAAGCTGCTACTTGCTCGACAAAGAAAAGCGTTCTGCCGATAATTTGTAGAAGTAGGGGGGATACTTAAAATAGGATTATTCCTAAGGGGTTTGGGGGGAACTCCAAACAAGGTCTTTGATAGGAGTTCCGGGCAGTCAACAGCCCCAGAAGCGATCCTACTGAGGTAACTAAATTCGCAATTTCGCGACGCATCTCTAAGGGGAGAAGATGATGCTTTTTGCAGAGCTCCCCGTACCGACCTGAATGATAACGTTCCTTTGTACGAAAGCATAGATATCGTACAAATTTCCTCTGGATGCCTTCAATGCGAGATATATATGTGGAATATCTAGGGTTCCAGACCTGAGATGCATACTCCAGATGACTTCTAACAAAAGTACAATATAAAATTTTGAGTGTCTTGGCCTGATTAAAGTCTTTGGAGTTGCGCATAATAAACCCGAGGGCCCTAGAGCTTCTCGCGATCACCTTATTAATATGCGTATCGAAGAGAAGCTTCGAATCGTGAAATACACCAAGGTCTCTCACAGCTATTTCACGTTTAAATTGGGATTGTTTTAATTTGTAGTCAAACAATACCATATTTCGCCTCCGACTAATAATCCGTTACATATAACAACACTGCATTTAGAAGGATTAAGATCTAAATGATTGCTAGAACAGTACCTATCAAGCCGCAATAGATCTTCTTGTAACAGACGTGCGTCTTCAGATGTAGAGATAGGTGCTAATATTTTCATGTCATCAGCGAAACATAGCAGCTTTGATGCCCGGAAACACTGCTCAACGTCGCTTAAATACACCACAAATAAAAGCGGACCAAGCAAGGATCCTTGTGGGACTCCACTAGAGACCGAAAGCCATCCAGATATATAATTTTTAATAACCACTGCCTGTGAGCGATTATCTATATAAGATGATAACCATCTTAGAAGGTCGCCACCAACGCCAATCATTTTCAACTTATTCAAAAGTAAATCATGTTGAATCCGATCGAAAGCCTTACTGTAGTCCGTATAAATAACATCTACCTGATGGCCACTATCCATGGCTGCAGTAACGACTTCGTTAAGCAATATAAGATTGGACACAACAGACCGACCCCTGAGAAAACCATGCTGCGTAGGACTAAACGAATGCTTCAAAGCCGCATAAAGTTGCTCATAAATATTTTTTTCAAAGATCTTCGATATAATACAGAGCTTTGAAATAGGCCGATAATTAGTAATGTCGGTCCTAGGCCCTTTCTTATGAACTGGCGTTACAAAGGCACGCTTCCACACAGCCGGCTCAGTGTTCTCCGCCAAAGATCTCTTAAAAAGAATAGAAATTGGAATTGCTATGGTTTTCGCGCAGTTGATAAGAAAGAGAGCAGGTAAAGAATCCGGACCAGCGGACTTCGATGGGTCGAGTTTTAAAAGGAGTTTGGTAATTTCGTCTATATTAATGTAAATTTTATTAATAGCAGCAGTAGTAGGGATATAATGGGTCGTGTCAATATTCCTCAAAGAAGCTGAATTATTTAAAAAAAATGAGTGGAAGTACGTAGCGAAAGCATTGCAGATTGCTTGCCCGGTATTTCGTTAATACTTGATATGGATTTTATGAAGGACTAAAACATTTTTGGGTTATCCCTCAAAGAGCTCTCCACTATACATACATACCTACTGTAACATTCCTTTTCTAGTGTTTTGCATCGATCCCGGAGCAGTTTAAACGACTCTTCATCCGATCGGTTTCCGTAAATTTTGTATTTTTCCAAAACTTGTGTTTCTATAGTATTCTTTACTCAAACACAAATGAACGTGGAAATGTAATAAATAAAGACAGTGCAGTAAAATTACCGATTTGATTTTCCGGATATTGCTTTTTGGCAAAACTTCTGGTTTTTATCTCACTATCACTTTAAACAGTTTTTAAAAAAAATAACTATTTTCGTCAAGTAAACAATTTTTTACGTGATAGCACGAGCCCTAGCTAGAGATTAAATTATGTATATTGCAGTGCATCCGTCCGGATTGCAGAAGGTACGCATTCGAATTCTGCCTGGAATCTGAACCGAATGAATATTTTTCTAGTAAACATTTTCTTGATATTTTATACAGCAGTTTCATACTTAAAAACTTATTAAATAAAAAAAAATCGCCGAAAAAAGTCAAATTAATATTTGGAGTCGGTGTCATGCCAACCCAAGTGGTAAATGAGAACTTAGATGTATCAGATATGCATGACACCGACTCCAAATAAAAAATTGACTAAAGATAATAAAGGTATATATTAGTACTTATTTGCTTTCGGTGGTTGAATATTTTGTTAAAACGGTTTTTTTTATTTTTTTTTGTGGCTAATATTTTTTGCAATATACAACTCAGCATCAAAATCTGTAAGTGAAAAATCGCCTCTATTTTAATTTTTTTTTTTTCATATTCTATTTTTTTCACCGGTAGGATTTTTGTTTCCAATTTATCTGGGATCAACTTCTAGGTATTTATTTATGTATATTTGATCATTCTTTTTTTTTATTCAATTGGACATATTCAATAAAAAAGACTACCTTGTTAAAAGTTATGCTTGGTCATACATTACAATCAGTGAGTGTACAATCAATCATCCTCTGTTTTCCTACCCTAGGTTCGGTTTTTTTTCGAAATTTTTATGTGACCACTACGAAGTTAGTTCCAAAAAAAAGAATTATGAAAATCGGACTACTCTGTAAAAAGTTATGCATGAATGAGAACCTCCTCCGTTTTTTTCGTCGGTTGAAAATATACATTACCTAAATTAACCTTGAATCCTAAATTACGGTTCGATTGCGTTGGGAGTTTCATAGAAAAAATACTGAACGAGTCGAGTTTATAAAGTTATGATCCCAGTCTAAGTTGATATGGCCGCTACGACTTTTCACCATAACGATTTAACTTTGTATTAAATTAGCTTTTAGTTAATTAAAAGGTACTCAAATGTTTTTTAAGTAATCTCTTAACCTACTAACAGTAAACCAAAATTAAAGCCAAATCTCAGATATTTAATTACAGACAGTGCCTGTTTCGAAATGAGACGGGCAGTTATATCAAAATATAATAACAATACGCATATAAACATTATACTTACCTACCTACCTGGGCAACGCATTGAAAAGGCAATCTTCCGTCATTGTCTTGTACATCACAATGGTTGCACTAACAACCCGACAAGAACAATATCACACAGTGTACAAATTTAATAATATTTGCATAATAACAAAATGATATCAAATTAAGATTTTATTACTTTATTGTGCTTAGAAAATTTATAGCTGTTGCGTACAAACATAATTACTGATTTTTTATCTAAAAGTTAATTTGGTATCAGTTAATATTCCTAAACTAAGAATACAAATTTAATTAAAAAAAAAACGAAAATTTATATAAATGATGAGGGACGCAGGAAGACCAATAATTTATCTTTAAAGTACATAGTTAAAATTTCATTTTCTTGCTTATTTCCGTTGTCACAGAATTTTATTAAGTGCTAATTTTTGCATGAGTAAATAAATACGTAGGAGAATTTTTATTTTTATTTATTAGGAGTAAGTACTAATTTTTATAACTTTCCATCTTACATATTTACATCTTCAAAAGTATAAGAATACTAAAACTGATTATAAATCTGCAGTTTCACTCACCGTGTTGGCAAATAGAAAAAAGGCTTATCATATGAACACAGTAAATGTTTACATACTTATCCAAAGAAAAAATCTTTTATGAACCTGAAGATCGGTTTGGACACTTTACTATAAATGTTCACTTTATTCACTGGTATAGGTAAGGCGTAATGGATTTCCGCGAGTGTCTTAGATGCGGTTGATATGCGTTTGTCGTCAACTTGACAATCAACCAGACCAGCCGGCGCGTACGCGTCCGCAAGTACGAAAGTTTATGCGACACTGACTCACTAACTCAGGCGCAACCCTGTTCGAACGCAAACACAATTCATACGACGACCGACATAAATGCAAACTTTGTAAGTACCTACACCGTCTCATAGCCCTACCAACAGCTCTATGCAGTGAAAGGTATACGGGGCCATCGCTTTTCTATGCAGGCTACCGCAAGAGCAACGACCCATCCAAACGTCTGCCTCACATAATACTGTTCAATATTTTTTGCATAACACTAATGTCCTAACTTTCCTTAGCCCTGCCAGAAAATCTTATCTCAGAATATAACTTTTTTTTTTCAACAACAAGTTAAATAGCTACTTAGGTATAACATCAATCAAAATAAGTTTCGACTGGAAGCACCTAAAGAACAAAACGATGAACAAATAACAACTTGACAACGTACCAAAGTCAGTTCTATTATATTTTAGAAAATTTAAAATAACATACAATAACCTTCTCCAAAATAATTATAAACTAAATTATTTTTACAAAATAATTAGGATCACTTGATAATGCTGCAAACGTGGAGACCAACGATATTAAAATAGTTGGTGGAGACCTCCATATTCACGGCAGGGAGGCGATCTGAGATTCTGGATTAGATTAGGTCAATTCAATTTAAGGGGACCGTTGAAGAACTAGAGGAAATAATTTTTGGTCACCCATCCTAATTTCTATGACTGGACATTATATAAGTTACTTCCACTATCGCAGACACTACATGCATGGCTATCACATCACAGTATTGTATTTCTGCAGTGAGCGATCCACGCCACGATTACCGGTAATGTTTATTAAATATTTGCAGTCTCGGAACACTTTAAAAAAATATATCAACTAAATTTATGCATCTACCCATGTGAATATTTTAAGAAAAGAAACAAACTTAAGATTAAAAAAAAATGTGTCCAGTCGAAGTTGACTGGAGTTTACTCCTTAAGTTCGATAGTCTAACCAGACGCAAAAAGAGTTTATTTAACTTAAAAAAGATTGATACTGTATGAAAGGGTAAATTAACAAATTAATGAAAATAATATGCATATATAAATATATATTTATTCATTTCATATACATTTATTATAACTAATCGACGAAATATTTTACATTAAACTTTTTACAATAGTCAATTTCAGATGTGCATAAATATATCATTACGAATGTTGATAAATTATATAATTATTATTATCAGACTATTATCATTTTTTTAAATATTAATTAAATCAACATTGTCTGCATTATTAATTACAGTGACAAGTGGTTTATGGTTTATTTTTGAGGCGTGAAGAAGCAACATGCAGGCCGGCAGGGTGAGGATGGCTGGTGTGGCAGGTAGAACTGCTGTATCAGCTATCTTCGCGTCTGGACTTCACCTTCACTTAACATCAGGTGGGGTGGAGTCATTTGTCGGACATAACTATAAAAAAAAAAAAAAAAAAAAACTAAAATAAGACACATGGACGTTCGTAGATACGTGGTTCACGAATCCTGAAAATACCGCATCGATGGTTGTACCATACCTCGTTGTCCCCATTGCTCTATCAGAAACAATATCTAAATTGAGTTCAGATTTTAAAAAAAATATTAATGTCAATCCGTCATTTTTGTTTGTCAAAGTTGCGCGACATCGGATGCGCACCAAAAACGTAACGAGTTCATTCATCGATAGATTTTATTCCTCACATTTTTCTCATATCGGGCCCCTTATATATGCAAATCGATTCTTAAGAACTCCAAAAACATGTTCATGTATTCATCATAGTAGTTGGTGGTCTGGTCATCAGAATTACTTATACATATACACAGTCAGGTCATAAGTATTGTCACACAGTAAAAACTTTTCTTTTAGAATGCTGCCCACAAAAAAGTTTATTGAAGTCGAATTTCGAATTGTTGTTATTATAAAAGGGATGATGACGGGGTAAGTAAAACGAAATTCTATTTAATCCGTCAGTCCAATCTACCTATTATAAAAAAAATGGATACATATTTCTCTTTTACCAATCAACCAAAAAATTACAAGGAAAGCGTGTCAAAGTAAGGGAGTGGAGGCTCGTGACGTCACTTCTATGTAAAAATTGTACCAAGACGTGACGTTCTGTGCAATGCATTTCGAATCAATATATTTCTGTAATTTTTTGATTATGTGACTAAAGAACTAATACGTCTCCAATACTTTTTGATAATCAAACTGATGGACCAAGAAAAAAAATAGTCATCATCCATATTATTCATATTGTCCTGTTTTTAATTGCGATTGGCTAAGGCCAAGGACTGGGCGTATTGGTGAATACAGTCAGAAGATACCTCAATGTTATTTATAATACGGCTACAAAGGATCAATCAGGAAGCAAATGCAAATTGCATCCAGGAGCACATCCAGCTATAAGTACTCACTAGCACAAAAACATATTACCTATATCTTTGTACTTACGCGGTAGTGTAGGGCCCTTTGTGTACGTGACTCAAGACTTCGTAACACTGAAACACTTCAGACTAGTCTAGATCACACTGAAACATTTTCCGGGAGCATGTATCTAGGAAGATTAAGAAGCTCTATCTATGATCTGAGCAATAAAAATAACAGCAGGCGTATAACATAACATAAAAAGAAAATTTGACTAGAATTAATTCCACTCGGACCATGTTTCAGACGGGATTCGGGTCCGCATCTTTAACTATCCGATGCGGCTGCCAAGTTAAATTCTTAAAAATAAAAATATTTAACAAAACACAATTTAAGTTATACGATGTCCATAAAGTTCTATGAATCAGTCAGTACCTGACGATTTCCGTAGTGGCATTCGTTCCTAATATTATTGAGTTGAATTCCAATTACATTTATTGAAGTTGATATTGAAATAGACTGTAGGGCATTCTTAAGTCTATCATCCAATAAAAGACGTGTCTGTAGTATTTAGCGTCAACTTCCTGCGCTCTCCCTCCTCAACAAAGAGGCCTGTGACACAATATAATACAGTAAGCAAATAAAAAACAATGGGAAGAAACCTTTGCATTGAAGGTTTTGCCGGTAATCGCCACGCTGGGCAGGCGGGTTTGGCGATCGCAGAACGTAGGTTAATCCACTGATGACGCTGCTGCCCGTCACCAAAGTGAGATTTCCCTCCTTTACGTCGTTGGATGGTTATACCGCCATCGGTCGGTCGGCCATGTGAAATGAAATGAAATGAAATGTCATTATTCAGTCTAGGCTGTTACAAGCACTTGTGAAGGTCAAGAAGCTACGCCATCGCCATGTTTGCCGAAGAACCGATAACCGTTGGGGTAGACGAGTTCTGGAGTGGAGACCGCGTCTAGGCAAACGTAGTGTAGGACGTCCTCAGGCACGATGGAGTGACGATTTGCGCAAGGTGGCTGGTAGGAGCTGGATGGGAGTAGCCCAAGATCGATCTGAGTGGCGTGCAATAGGAGAGGCCTATGTCCAGCAGCGGACTAGGATAGGCTGTTGATGATGATGATGATGATGGGATGAAACGTCCCCACCCCCCAACAGATTTCAAACATCAGTGTCATTCGAAGCGTCTGTTAAGATAGATAATTTCTTTCTATGGCGACATACTTCAAATATATGGGGTATAGCTTTTATAAATATTAGAGGTGCCCTGCAGTTACACCCAAATTAATTTGAGGAAATAGGTTATAGTGTCATCCTTAAAAGATAGACATATGCTGTCGTGGACTTTTTTATAGAACTTTTAAAGAGGAACTATTCCGTCATACATGATTTTTATGTAACTTTTAACGTTTGAGCAGCGCACATACCGGTAGCTCTCAAATGGAATATTTAACAATTTTTATTGTTGCTTCGCTCCTTTTGATTGTATTTTTATGTTAAATAGCTTATAACCTTCCTCCAAAAATGTACGACTTTATGTAAAATGAATAAGATAGACCCTGAAAATCAGATCTATCAATACGCATGGCACCGACTTCAAATTATTTTTGAGATAAATATAATTAAAGAATATTCATTATTGTTTCTTTTTAGTGGTTTTGTTTTTATGAAGTTGGTTTTTATGTTCGTTAAAAAGTTTTTATTTTACACTTTATAAGCCAGAGCAAGAACAACTTACTAAGAACTTGGTACTGGCCTGCATTATATATTTCATATTCTTAAAAGGGAGGGAGAGGGGCGAATGGTGCGGGTACGAGTCCCGCCTAGATATGAAGGGGATAGGGGATGGAAGGAGCGGACGCGAGCTAAGAGGCATTTGAGAAATAGGAATTTTAAAAAACTATTGCTGTCCCGCATTTTCCCGCAAATTGTAAAATTCGAGGTTTAGCTCTCGACGATTTCCTCCTCGAAAATTAGAAAAGGAAATTGCTCAAATTGGCCCAAATGTACAAAAAATATTGACATATACGGTAATTCTTGGCGTAATTTATAGTTTATTTTACAGTCAGTAGATTTTAACGGACACCTTTGTATAATATATTCATTTTAAAAAGGACTTTTAATTTTACCGGTTTGGAAAACCTACGAATCATTTTTAATGGCTATGGGTGTAGTAACATTCAGCCAAAGACTGAACGAAGTTGTTTATATAACATCAAAACAAATCTATTTTGTACAGATCGATAAAATAAAACATTTTTTTTATTACACTGTGGTATTAATATCCACAAGTATATTATCATTTTTACTACATGCAAATGTGCTAAGACAAATATTATAGATGGTAGGCGCCATCATAAAGTCTATTGCCATACATTTTTCGCCAAACACCTCCATAAACAAATTATAAGGTGTGATACACTAAAAATCTAAAATATGGTTATAAATATAAACATAACAAAAATAATACGCTTTCTTTAGTTAACGAGAGTTTAAAAATTCTTTCTAATCTATGGCTCATTCACAAATTACCAAATTACACACAGTTTCTGTCACAGAGTACCTTATTATAATCGGAAATGCATAGATAATACATGATTTTAAAAGTTACTCTTAGGGTGCGGCCAGAGTGCACTCAGATTCAGATTCAGATTCCGAAAACAAGCGCGAGAAATAAACAGTGTAGTCGAAGGGTACGGCCAGAGTGCACTCCTGATTCAGATTCAGACTCAGAAAACAAAGCGCGAGAAAAAGCAGGCAACCTGCTTAGACTACACTGTTTATTTCTCGCGTTTGTTTTCAGAATCTGAATCTGAATCTGAGTGCACTCTGGCCGCACCCTTATGCATTAACTCTAAAAACAGGCAACTATCTATTAATCTACATGCTTTATATACCTGAATATAATACATAATTTCGGTACTTGGTTTGATTTCCCTAGTTTGCTATATAACTTATGTTTTTTTTATTATTTTAATACCTTTGTAGGACCTATTTGCAAACATAACCTCATAATCGTTCAGTGTATATGGTTTATAGAAGTTCTCAAGGGTGTCCGTCAATAATATTCGATTCTACAGTAATTTATATATAATTTCGAATCCAGGAAACAAATTTTCATGATTATTGGTCTTTAGGCCAAACATGTATGGAAGCTGAGCAATCTCCTTTAAAATGAATTTTACAAAAAGAATAGTAAGTAGTTATAATATGCCTCTATGTTTTGTTTTTTTGTAAATGTTTCATAAATCTCCACACTGGACGTCTTTAGTGGTGATAAAAACTGTTTATTATTTTGATTTTGAACTACTTGTGTTCTTTATAAAAGCATCGAAGGCAATGTTTTATCTTTATAATTTTACGCAATATTGTTATATTGAGTGCACATGCAGCGTGAAAGCGAATTGTGATCATGCACCACAATTTAAGCGGATCGTTTTTGAGCCGCGAGTGCCGTATCTTCCCTTTTTATTTTAATCCATTTTTAATCTAAGGGGTAAAAAGATGATATTTTGTATGAAAAATCTTATTCTTTGAGTTCGTAGACTTAAAACTTAGTACGAATACGTATCTAAATGAATGCGCGATACTTTCTCCAGTTTGTAAACACGCATAAATGCGACATTAAAACGCGTTAATTAAAAAAATAAAAAAAGTTTTCCGTGATAATGAATAAACTTTACCCCTTATCACACCATTGAAATAAGTATGCGTGACCTTTCCGGCTAAAAATCATTGGTCGGCCGGATTTTTTCTTGTTGAACATAATATTTCTTCTATCTATTCTTGAAGACCTCTGTGGTCGAGTGGTTTGTACGCCAGGTTTCATGGTGTCGCTGACTCGAGAGGTCCCGGGTTCGAATCCCGGTGGGGGCAGATGTTTGTGTGATGAATACGAGCATTTGTACTCCAGTCATGGATGTTTAATATGTATTTCTATAAAAATATACTTATATATGTACAGTATATGTATTCTATCCGTTACCCTATCATCCCATAACACAAGCCTTACAGTGCTTACTTTGGGGCTAGGCTAATTAGTGTGTGTTGGACATATAAAAAAAATCACACAAAATTCTATATAACATTGATCAAAATCCGTGATGACGAAAAAAAAATATGGAAATTTAATAATAAATAATTTTATTAAAAATTTTCCGGCCAATCAAATTCACGCCGATCAAGCAAATCTTGTTCGTCTAAACGTTAACTTTTATTTTTTATTAAAAATATTAGAATCCGTGGTCATGGAGCTTTCAGGATTGGTGGCTCCTCGCCTATATACTATTGGTTTTCCAAAACTACCCCAAAAGTGGTGATTGGAGGGTGCCGAAGTTTTTATATAGATGAATTTTAACGCGCAATGCGATTAACTCTAAAATGAGTATTTATACTTTAGACCTGAAATAAAGAATAACATGTATCAAGGTTCTTTAACCTCTTTCAAAGTAAGTATAATCGGCCCTACCCTTTTTCTCGTTTACATCAATGATTTATGTAACCTTAATTTAAAATGTGGTAAAATTATATCTTACGCCGATGATACGGCCTTGATTTTTAGCGCCAATAGTAGGTCAGAATTATATGAGGTAGCTCAACTTGGTCTTAATGGTGTAAATAACTGGCTTCGCTGCAATTTACTAACACTGAATACTGACAAAACCAATTATATTCACTTTTCTATGCGCCAGCCTTGTCATGGGTTTACAAATCCTAACTTATACGCACACCAATGCCAATATCCTTCAGTCAATAAATGCGATTGCCCTTTAATACAGAACACATCCCATATAAAATATCTTGGTATCTTAATTAACGACACATTATCTTTTAGACAGCATATTGCAAATCTAGTAGTCAGGATCCGTAAATTAATGTATATTTTTAAAAAATTACGTACCATTGCAGGTCCAAAACTAATTAAACAGGTATATCAGGCCTTATGCCAATCAGTAATTCAATATTGTATAACTTCATGGGGTGGAGCTCTCAAAACTATTTTAATCCCTCTCGAGCGAGCTCAGAGAGCCATTTTAAAAGTAGCCAATTCACTTCTCTTCTTATATCCTACGCATCAACTTTACAAATACTGTAATGTGTTAACTGTTCGCCAGCTTTTCATTATGCACACCAGTGGCGGACTAACAGGGGGGCGGAAGGGGCGGCCCGCCCCGGGCCTCCGATTTTGGGGGGCCCCCAAATGCCTCCGCGTTACCCTGATCAAATCCTAAACAAGACTTTAAAAATGTGCTTAGTACCTACATAATTTCATCAAGTTCAAAACACTACAATAATGTAGACTTTTTACGCGGTACTACCTAATATTTTTTTAACTTTGCTGAACGCGTCCAATACGCTGGGGGAATTCCCGTCTTAGTAGCGGGTACTTCCTCAGGAATCCCTGAATGAATGAAGTGCAACTAATTTACTCTTGTACGCATACATTTACATTCACTACATTCTATTTAAGTCTAACAATATTTGCGGTCTCCAAAAATGACTTTGGATACAGGAATCACCAAACTAAACGCCTTGAATAAGTATTTAGGTGGTTCATCAACATTAAGAAACCAGGAAAAGTGAAGGTAAAAAGAAGATGCCGGGTGAATCAGCTCATGATGCTGGATTATCAATTCAAGAAGAAATACGTCGGTCAATGTATGAATGCATAGACCGCTTTATACAAGAATTTTCCAATTGGACTATTAAACAAATCAAAAATATTTTCCAAATTATTGAAACAAAGTTTATGCTAAAGGCTTCAGATGACGCTTTGGCTGTAGCAGTTGACAATCTGATACAAAATTATGGTGAATTTGACAAGACTGGTTTTAACGAAATAAACATACGAATCTACATTTTTTTTAAAGCTGGGGGCCTCATTCAGTTTTGCCGCCCCGGGCCTCTGACGGGCTTAGTCCGCCACTGATGCACACCATATTAAAACAACACACCATTTTACCTTTTTGCTCTGATATCACTAACAAAAGACGGAAAGATATAGTCTGCAACTCTACACATGATTCAAAATACATCTTTTCACATAGATTCTCTAATTTCCTAAGTCCTTTCTTATATAATAAGTTAAATAGAGTGTTAGGTATTTATATATTAAACTATTTTAACTGTAGAACTGTAGTATTTAATTTTTTGCACAGCCTGACATACGAGCAGACCGAAGAATTACTTCTTATTTGTAAATAAATGAACGTAACTCCATAATTTACATTTACCAACATTTATACAATGATTACTTTAAGTTCTGTTTTAATTAATTTGTTAATTTATTAATCATTCAATATATTATTTAGATCATAAAAGCCTGAAATACATGTACAATTTTAACTGTAACCTAGTTCAGGCATCCATTATTTTGTACTTTATATTGTTATTAGTATTATTATGCAATGTATGACCTTATTTGAATAAAGATATATTTATTATTATTATTATTTTCTTTGAAACTGTAGAGTTTCAAAGAAGAAAAAGAAGAGTTACCCCTGACGGGGTAAAAAGGGCTAGAAAATTTTACTGGGAAGTATTATACTGCGGAGCTTGATTATTCCACCCATACGAAAGCAGCAGTGGGGACTTAAATAAGCTGATGATGATGCAGCTGAGTGACAGTCTGGTTACGTGCTAGAGTACTTATGTTCCTTGCTTGTGATAAGTATCTGTGGCATTCAATAATACTATATACAGGAGCTCGAAAGCGCGTTTGATCTGCGATCGGATGTATGACCAAAAATAAATTATCTCGAGCTCCTCGTGCTTTCGAAGGCACGTTATACTGCAGTCATACCCACTAGCCCCGCGTGGATAGTGGGTCATGGGCCAATCTACCTATTCCATCCATGGCTATGCCCTAGTAGCGAGGACATTAATGGGCTTACGATAATGATAGTACGATGCAAACATAATGACGGCTGTGAAGTTCGCGCAAATCGCGAAATTAGGGTACCTACGCGATGAGTGTTTACATGACTTAAGCATCGTTAATAAATCGTGGCTTGGTGCTAATATAACTTCACAACCTCCATACACTTTGAAACGCACTAACACCACCTTTACCTAATTGAATAATCGAAAATTAAGTGACGGGTAATAGACATAAAATAAAATTGTAAATAGAAAAACATTTATTCAACAAATCTCACAATCACTCACTCAGAACTAAAATTTACAGATTTATTAAGTAATCAGCCTTGGTGTTTATAAATCTAATATTTTGAAGAAATATTCCACTTCTAGGAGTCCATCTTCCGCTAAGTCACTACAATGAATAGCATTCTGAACTTTAGTGTTACCCAACTTTGCTCTGAGTGTATGTGGTCGTAATAATCGAGCGATTTCCTGAGAACAATCCAATGAATGTTTTATACTCAAACATTAATTGTACACAGTCAGGTCATAAGTATTGTCACACAGTAAAAACTTTTTTTTAGAATGCTGGCCACAAAAAAGTTTATTGAATCCGAATTGTTCATGAAAATAAAAATGTATACTTTTTAGAATTTTACTCATTTCTAAATATGGTTTAAAGAAGACCGTATTGCAGTTATTGCGTTGCATTGTTGCGGTTACGCGAAAATTCAAATTTATGACATACTAAAAAATTTGAATATAACCAATAGATTCGTTTATCGTACCATCAAACGATACAATGAAGACTCTAGTGTAGATGACAGATCACGAAGTGGTCGCCCTCGGTCTGTTAGGACTCCAGCAGTGATAAAAGCTGTGAAGGCGCGAATTCAAAAAAATCCCAAACGTAAGCAGAAACTGTTGGCTCTTCAGATGGTGTTAAGCAGAAACACGGTGAAAAAGATGTTAAATGAAGACTTAGGGCTTGGGGCATATCGAAGAAAAACAGGACATCGTTTGAATGCTCGTCTAATGGACCTGAGACTGAAGAGATTCCGCGCTTTGTTGAAGCGGTACGCGGGAAAAAAATATAGGGAAATTCTTTTATCGGGTGAAAAATTTTTACCGTAGAAGAGAGCTACAACAAATAAATATGATAAGGTGTACGCACACAGTAGTGAAGAAGCGAGCAATCGTATTTCGCGAGTCCAACGAGGTCATTTTCTATCCTCGCTCATGGCATGGTTGGGAGTTTCTTATTGGGGCTTAACAGAGGTACATTTTTGTGAGAAAGGTGCAAAAACGAATGCAGTTATGTATCAAAATACAGTCCTGACGAACCTTGTGGAACCTGTTTCTCATACCATGTTCAATAACAGGCACTGGGTATTCCAACAAGATTCGGCGCCAGCTCATAGAGCGAAGAGCACACAAGACTGGCTGGAGGCGCGTGAAATCGACTCCACCTCTCCACTCCACTCCAGTCCAGATTTGAGTCCGTTAGATTACAAGATATGGCAACACTTGGAGGAAACGGCGTGCTCAAAGCCTCATCCCAATTTGGAGTCACTCAAGACATCCTTGATTAAGGCAGCCACCGATATTGACATGGACCTCGTTCGTGATGGCATAGACGACTGGCCGCGCAGATTGAAGGCCTGTATTCAAAATCACGGAGGTCATTTTGAATAAACTTTATTGTCATAAGAATATATGTTTTGTTAAGTTCATTTTGGTATATAAATGGTTACATAATTGATAAACTTGTTTCAATTATTTTATATTAAACATGTGACAGAATTTATGACCTGACTAGGTAGTATCTTAAAATATATTTTACTATTGCAGATTGAAAGGAAAGATTGAACGACTTCCTAAAAACACTCTTTTTCTATCTACATACTATATAGTTAATATCTATTATTATGTAAATATGAAATTGTATAGGATTTATAGAAAGTTGTCCATTGCTATGGAATCCCTATCCAGAGATGATTTGTCTACTGTAAGTAAATTACCCTACTGATATTTGTTTGAACCTAAATTGTGTTAAAAATTAACTTAAATAATTGAAGTCTACATTATTTACATTATTAGGGCAAAAGCCTATGGAGTATTAATGGGTAGCTTGTTCGAATCTAGCTCAAGGACCAACAATGGTGAATACGGTATTTTATTTTTTGGGAACAATACTAAAAATCACTCTAGCTATAGGAAATGGTATACTAGGAGTGATATCAAAGTTTAATAAATGTGAGCTTAATTGTAAAAAATAGGGATGATGACTAATTTTTTTTTTCGTTTATAAGGTAGATTATCAAAAAGTATTGGACACGTATTTTTTCTTTTCTCACATAATATAAAAATTGCAGTGATATATTAATTTGAAAAGTCGCATGACGTCACGTTTGAGTACACTTATAAGTGAAAATTCACTCCAAAGTGACGTCACGAGCCCCTACTCCCAAACTTTGACGCGCTATAACTTTGTCATTTTTTGGCTGATTGCCCAAAGAAAAAATACGTGTTCCATTATTTTTTGATCATCTAACTGACGGACTAAATAGAATTTCGTTTACTGTACCCCGTCATCACCCCTATTGTGGGCAAACAATATCAACTTTGAAATCTGAATGAAGAAAACTCAAGCAAGTAAGTAACGTTTATGCAAGTTTTATTCATTCATAAATAAAAATATTGTTAGGTGCTCATATAATTTCAAAGCATATTTATCTCCAGAAGTTAAATGTTTTAATACTTACAGGATCTGAAGGTCCAACTAGTTTCCTAAATTCAACAGCTGTAGTGACAGTTTTATCTTTGGCTACAATTTCCATAGCTACACAAGGCCCACTAGATAACTCTTCTACCATTCCCTGTAATCAAACTTATATATTTATCCCAAATGTAAATATATGTATTCCAATTTAAATGTTTTCTTATTTTTGGTTAGTTAGGTACTTTAGATGGTTTCAATAAGGCTAATTTTTGTGAATCCCCATGACAAATATATATCATGGAAGGAGTCGCTGACGGTTGTGACACGGTTAATACTGGTACAGCCGTCAACGAACCCTTTATATGTGAAATATATTTAAGATTTAATTCCTCTAATTAGTACATAAGAGCAATTGTAACTTTTAAGATAAATAAACCATTATTATTATTATTAAATCTCTGCAGAGATCTGTCGTATATATTTAAGATAACGTGGAACTCGTTGCCGCAGTGGTTATTATATCACGTTTGGTCTGCGACGCAAGTTAAGCAACATCAGCAAAGGACTGTTATGATATGAGTGCTTAAAAAAATATTATCTCAAGTTTATTTTTTAAAGACATTTGGCTGGTGGTCTCGACTGTATCTACAGCTGTTAGCACCCACCAATCTGTCTAACAGTGAGGTTATGAAAATTATGATGATAATGTATTTGAGAATTATAATATTTAATTAAAGCGTAATACTGAGAAACTGTTAAAATTATTTAATATGTTGTTATTTCATTCGATCGATCATCCCTACTCCAGTCCATTCTATACTTTGTAAAATCAATTATTCTTATTGGCTGGTGGTGCGTTGTTTCTGTCTCGAGTAAGGTCCAGAGGGCCAAGCACGAGTTTAGTTTGTTCTTACGTCCGATACTCCTATCGGTTTAGTTTTCATAGAAACTATGAGGATGCGATACGTTACGGAGATGTCAAAAACTCGTGCTATGGCCTCAGATCTACATCACACATCGGGTTGGAGCGACGCATTTTACTAACGCATCAGAAATTAGGTTGGGGTAGATAATTTTGACGTGTATTATATTTGATCATGTCGTCACATCACATTCATCTCAGGTTAAACAACCAACTTTTTATATGGAAATCAGAAATCTAATTATTAAACAACTTCGACTCCCGGAACCACTAATACCAAACAATCTGTACAATGTAACTACACATAATTACCTTATATTCTGGAACAATTCCTTTGTATACTTCATAAAATTCTGCAGCATTTATATTTTCTACCATAAACATATTAATCGCTGTGACTTCAAAACCACCCTCATCAATGGCTTCTAGTGTGGCGCCTAGTTTGCCCTCGCGAATGGCATGCGGCTTTACTATGCAAAGAGTGCAGTTGGACAATGTAGCCGTAAGTCGAAGGCGCGTAGATCGTAGAGGTGGAGGCGGGAAGAAATATTCAATATCCTGAAAAATATTAATCATTATAAAACATATCATAAAAATAAAATAAATTAAAGATCAGGTTAGTTTAATCTTAAAGCATTTATATGTATCGTGATCTAAATCATGATTACAAATCAAAGGGATAAAACAGTGTCAACAACTTCTATAGAGAAATGACGATCAGAAATCGAGTAATGGAAATTTAGTTTAGCGACCTACGAATCACGATACCTACTATTTGATATGAGAAGAGTGATAGGGGAGGGGAGGAAGGCTTATCTCTCCTGCCTTTTCTGCCCCAAGCAAATGTTTATATTATTAAATATGTACTGAAAAAAGTATATGCATATGTATGAACATTATTATGGGGTTTGAATATAAAACAAACTAGAACTAGGTAACATGCAAACTTCGCTGGTGAGCACGACGGAGCTTGTGCTCGTGGAAGCGACCTGGGAGGAACCTCCCGCATGGCCGGGGGGTGTCGTCGTAGGAGGGTGGATGGGGGAGGTTGCGAACACTCCCTCGAGAAGGGCTCCCCTGGAGGAAGCAGGGGAACAAAGGCTGCGGGTCCTCAGATGCGATACTCGATCCTGAGGCCCCTTTACAATGCCTGATGGCGGCCAACGCTGGGGTTTTAGTGGGTAGGCCTCCCCTTCCTGGGGAGGAGAGCCCCGCATAATCACCACGTGGTATGCAATTTAATGCATTTCCCCAGCGTACCAAAAAAAGAAAAGAAAAAAAAAGGAAGGGTTACATGCAAACAAAAATGTAACCCAGTGTCCAACTACGCAAACGCGATTTGGATAACGAATTGATTTTGCTTGATTTAATACTCTGCGAATAAGTATATAAAACTATTATCTTTCTGGTAGTGAAATGCCGAATATGCCCGTTTACAGATACTCTTAAGGACGAACCAATATCGAATTTGTTACGTTTGCGAGTGCAATCGAATTTGAATCTTCTTCGAGAAGTTTTGTATGGAAAGAACAACGCGACAACACAGCGGACGTAACGATAATTTAAAATCAGTAGCACGAACTTCTTGACGACATTTGATGAGTTTCGCAGGCCTGCGTTTCAAGCCTACCCTCTGAGTACAACTTTTTACCCCGACATTTCAATTTTGACAAAAATTCAAATTTGACATTTCTTACACCTGGAGCCAGGAGCATAGGTTTGGAACGCAGCCCAACTATTCGAATCCGATAGCGGATCGTGCCTAGGGTAATGATCTGCAAATACCATAATTTCTCTAGAAACTGTACCTGTATTCTTGGATCTAGACCTCAATGATATGTACCCCAAGCACGAACTTTAAAAGATCCGTATTCGTATCGCCAAAGTTTCAATCGAAACTAAGCAGCGCCCCTACCGAACGTAAGAATAAACTAGCTCTTTCAATAGAAAACTTCGACATGACGATACAAATACTCGCTCGCTAGTTGTTCGTGCTTGGAGTACCGTTTTCGTTTACGTATCTTAGATTAACATTTATTATTAATGCAAATTAACATTTAGCAAAAAATTGGCAAGCAACAAATCATGGATCTCTAAACTAAAGCCAAATCCAAGTAAGAATATAGTAATTGCTTCATAGTAGTACCTCTACAGCATCTTCTTGGCTTGCAGCAGCATGCATACAGTTCCTTACTGGATCAGAGCCATACAGTGACCTAATGGTCCCTGCAGTAGCTTTCATTGGATCTCCATCTCCTAAAGTCTCAATAAGAATACTGACTGCACCTTTTCCTACTAATTCTAATCCATATGCTAACTGCCCTGTGAGATATTCTAATAAGAATCTGTATAAAAAAAGAGATACTTGAAAATTTATAATTATCTTCCTGTGATTTATTTTTGATTTTTTTAGGGAAGCTTAACTTTTTTAGTTTTTAAAGTCATGGTAGTCGAGCAACTTTTGCACTGGCTGCACATATGATGGGTCACAAAAAGTCAAAGTGCTTAAGGTAATAAATGTATTACCCTAAGCACTTTCATGCTTCAGTAGACATATAAAGCCATCCCAGCTGCATTTGCAGTCATATCACCAAGAAATCTAAACTGAGCCTGCATGGTGGATCATGGCCTGTTCTTCCTATTCCGTCCATAGAAAGCTTTGCAGCTGTCCCAGTAGTGGCGACATCAGTTAGGACCTAGTCTAAGAGAAATTAATTTGTGATAATATCAAAATTTACTTATTAATCACCATTTTTTAATTTTCCCACTGCTGGGACACAGGCCTTTCCTATGGATGGAATAGGGAGATTGGGCTGTGGCTCACCACACAGAACCAACCGGATTGGTGGGTGCTAACGACTGCAGTACTTGCGCCATCCAGTTCCTTATTTATTCATAAGTGTTTAAATAAAAACAATGGTAAAATATCAATTTGAAAAAAATTCTTAGCTCCACAAGAAACAAGGTGCAGCACATTTTTACTTATATTTGATAAAATTATAGTAGGTATCAATTATGTATAATGTGGTTGCAAAAAATTTTGATAGAATAATGCATGTTATTACTACTCTCCTCTGCCTTAGGCTTTGAATGTGTACATACTTCAGAGATTCAGGGAACTTTTTAAAAATAATTTGTGTTTTAATTTAGGACAAGATCTTTCATCACTTTTCTTTGATCAACTTAAAGACAGCATTGTGAAAGGAGCTTCATGGGCTCTAGGATTTGTTATGGGCACACGTCAAAATGATAAAAAATCCTTACTGCACTAACATAAGAAGCACACAGTAACATGGGTCCTGAGATGACACAAGTGTATGGTCCGGAACCTTTGCTGCCTATACCTCAGGCCCGAATTAAAACGTGGCTGCGTGGAATAACTCAGAAATCACACTTGACGGAGTGGAAAACAGGTGAAGGATGCCGGCAAACGAAAAACGCGGTTCTGGCGGCAAATAAAGGTTTGCCCGCACCCTTACCAGATTAAATAGGGACAAACTTCACAGGATTATAGCATCCCTGACTGGTCATTGTCCCCTAAACAAACACCTATATCAATAGGACTGACAGACAGCCCTCTATGCCGAGGATGCATGGATGCAGAAGAAACGCCACAGCATGTCATCATGGAATGCAGGAGTGTGGCTGACCAACGGGCACTACTTCTCCAGTCGCCGGAATCGTTTCCGGAAGCTTGCAGTAATCTACCAAGGCTGCTATCCTTCTGGACCGATATAGGCTGGCTGGAGTAAAGAGGAATGTTTTTGAGACACGCACACAATGGTCCAACAATTAGGACTATGTACGGAAACCGCCCTGAAGATCTAACTAACTATGGGTCTGAGATCTGGGATCCACGCTACTATTAATACATTAACCGCATCGAGCGGCTACAAGAAAAATTTATGAAATTCTTGTGCTTTCATTTAAAAATTCTCTAGACTTCCACAAATGATATAAATTTATATTCCGAATTTCACCTTCTTCACAATGATAATGGTAATTTACTATTAATGTTTTTTTTTTTTATTATTATTTGCAATCAGTCTTTGGACTATGAGCAAATTTATTGAGCGCAACCAAACATGACAGGAGTGGTCGGCCAGCGCCACCACTTCCTTTAAAGAACATTCTTCCTCTTCAGTCTCGAAACGCGGTCAGCTTGCTCAAGCAATTGGCATATTAAAGGATTTGGATGGTTTGAGAGGCGCTCAGTGTACCTCGATTTGCACTTGTCTATCTCTTCTGCGACAGTGGGCATGTTCAAGTATTCATGAATTTCGTCATTTTTTGTGAACCATGGTGCATTTACTATTGTTCTGAGGATATTATTTTGAACTCGTTGCAGGCAAGTAATGTTACTTTTGCAAGCAGTGCTCCACAACTGTATCCCATAAGTCCAAACTGGTTTTATAATGGTATTGTAAATAAGAAGCTTGTTGTCGATTGACAGGGCAGAGTTACGGTTCATAAGCCAATGAAGGTTTCTGTATTTTATATTAACTTCATCTCTCTTTTTCTTTAAGTGCTGCTTCCAGGTGAGTCTCCTATCCAAGTGGAAACCAAGATACTTGACGCAATCTGAGTGTGGGAGTGTGTCTGACCCAAGGTGAACAGGAGAACAGTTTCCCTTCCTTAATGCAAACGTAATGTGGTTCGATTTTTGACCACTGACTCGAATACGCCGTTTTTTCAGCCATGCGTGAGTTTGATCTAATAGGTTCTGTAGCTTTGCACTAGCTATGTCAGGGTCTTTATCGCAGGCAAGGTATGCAATGTCATCAGCGTATGTAGCAATTACAGCGTCGCCAGCAGTGGGAAGGTCGTACGTGAATATGTTATACAGAACCGGACCAAGTACCGATCCTTGCGGGACTCCAGCCTCCACAGCTTGCAAGGAAGATCGTGAGTCATCGACTTTAACCCTGAAGTATCTTTGTGACAGGTACGATGCAATTATGAGGTAAACCGAGTGTGGTAGGTTCTTTTTAACCTTGTACAATAGGCCCTTGTGCCAAACCTTGTCAAACGCCTGTTGCACATCTAGGAAAGACGCGGAACAGTATTCTTTTCTCTCATTGCAAGTTCTTACTGTGTCATATACACGATGCATTTGTTCTATGGTGGAGTGGGATTTTCTAAAACCAAATTGATGTGTAGAGATGAGGTCACATTTATCCATGCAATATTTAAGGCGGGTAAGGAAAATCTTTTCCCACAGTTTAGAGAGTGTAGGCGTCAAGCTAATGGGTCTGTAGGATGTAGGTTCATGTATAGGTTTTCCTGGTTTGTGTATCATGATGATTTCAGAGATCTTCCAAATGGCTGGGAAACAAGACGTCCTAAATATGGCGTTAAACAGGCATGCCAGGAAGGTGATTCATTTTCTAGGAAATTCTTTTAAGACCCGTGTTGAAATGAGGTCAATACCAGGCGCCTTTTTCGAATCGAGTAATTTCATTTCTCTTGCAATTTCTTTTGGGGAGGCAGGTGTCAGAGGCAGGCATAGCTGGAGATCTTGACCAAGTACCGTTTCAACTTCAGTTTCATCCTCTAGAGCATCGTTAGGCTTAAAAGTTGTGGCAAGATGGGTAGCGAAAACTTCAGCTTTCTCTGCATTTGTTTTTGCCCAGGAAGTAGAAGAAGATCTAATAGGCGGAGTGCATTGCATTGGTTTTGCAACGATCCTCGTGTTTTTATACAGTGAATATTCGCCTTTACCATGTGGTGACATACTTTCCAATTTTTGTTTGATATTGGCATTCCTAGTTGCCTCTAGAACTAACTTTAGGTCTTTTACAGCAGGATTAAACACCTTTTTGTCGACCTCTCTTCTAGTTTGGTGCCATATCCTTCGCAAACGGCGCTTTTCTAAAATTTTCTTTTTTATTTCGGAGGAAACTAATATGTTTTGTGGGGCATGCTCAACATACGGGGTACTTTTCCAAGCAGCAGTCTGAATCACATTTGTGACATGCACACAAGCAGCATCCACATCTTCTTGGGATTTAAGTGGCATCCTAAAGTTAAGATTGGTATCTATATAATAACGAAAGCATTCCCAGTCGGTCTTATGATTTGTCAAGGTTTCAGGATGTTTTTCGGACATGATGACAGATGAGCTCAAAGTTAATATTACCGGGGTATGATCAGAACTCCCATCTAAGCTAGATTCCACGCAGGTATATAACTGACATATGTTTTTAGTAACGAAAAAGTCGAGGAGATCTGGAAGTCTACATATGTCTGCTGGCCAGTAGCTGGGTTCTCCAGTGGATATTGCCATTAGGTGAAGAGCACATTGACTTTTTCTCAGTTCACGACCTCTCGGTAGAGTGATGCGAGAACCCCAGAATGTATGCTTGGCGTTCCAATCACCGCCTGCAATAAATGTGTTGCCAAGAGTTTCGAAATATGCCTGGTACATTTCTTGTGTAATCTTATGCTTCGGGGGACTGTATACAGCGGATAGAATAAATGATCCCGTTCGATCCTCTACACGTACAGAGGTAGCCTGAATGTGGTATGTTGAGTATCCTTCCAATGGCACGTGTTTAATGTTCGAACGAATGACTAGCGCCGTTCCAGCATGAGCTCGGCCATCGGGGTGCGGCGTGAAATATATTTTGTAGCCTTTCATCTGGAAGTTACTTTTATTAACTGCATGAGATTCCGATATAAGGGCCACGTCTAGTTGATTAATGGACAACATGTTTTCCAGTTCGCAAATGTTCGGAGACAGCCCATTGATGTTCCAGGTTGCAATGCGGATATTTAGGAATTTGGTTGAAGCATGGAGATGAGAGTTGTCAATAGGTTCATTAATGTTCCTATTTGTTGAATGAGTAGATCAAGTTTTTCTCCTTGCTTGACCATGATTTGCTCCATTGTAGGGTACTGCTGCTTACTCTCACTATCATTAGTTGGGTGTTTGACTGATTTGACATGTGTTACTTCCGCGTAAGTCCTCCTAGCATTCGTATATTTGTGGGTGTTTGTTGTGGTCTTGTTTTCCTCGAATCTTTTAACGTTATTTAATGTTGTCTTTCTGTTAGGTTCTATAATTGGGTTTGTGTTGATTTTGTTGGCAGTTTTTCTAGAGAGGATTTCTTTATAGACCTGACATCCTTTATAGTTTGCTGGGTGGTCGAGAGAACACAGTGCACACTTAGCTGGAGTATTTCTGTCCTTTTTAGGACAATCGCTGGTTTTGTGCCCTTCGCCGCACTTGACACATCTGTAAGGCCTCAAGCAGTTATTTTTTGAGTGTCCATACTGTTGGCATCTTTGACACTGGACTATGGTTTTAGACCTTCGTGGCTCCTCTATTTTAACCTGTTGGTGATAAATGTGCTGTATTGCTTTCAACTCTTTGTTTTGCTCACAGGGTGCGACGTTGACGAAGAAAGTGGAAGTAGGTTTTTTCTCTGACCCATACCGACAGTTTATGAATTCTCCAACAACTTTGTTTCCCGTCTTCTCTATCACTTCTACGATGGCTTCATGAGGAGTAGTATGATGAAGGTTTTTAATGACTATGCGATAGCATTTGTTGTCTTTTATAGTGAAAGTGTGTCCTATTAGTCCTCTTTGTCTTATAAGCTCGATAACTTTTTTATAATTTTCAACCGAGTCAATCATAACTCGCATCAGGTTTCCGTTTATAATCTTGTATGTAAAGGTATCTTTATCTACTACTGAAGTTATTAGTTTCGATAGCTCATTTACGTCCTCTATGCCATAGAGTATTATTGGAGGCGGTCTACTTGGATTTTTTGGTAAAGATGGTCTATCTTCAGGTGTATCTACCGGCAGGTTGCTGAAACGATTTTGGGTTTGAGTTTCGGTGGGAGGTGGAGAGAAGCAATACTTCCGTTTTTTGGATCCAGGAACTCGTTGCCACAAAGGAGGCAGTTGGTCTGTTTCTGGTGTTTGAACAGCGGTTACATCTATTTCCGTTTGGATATCTTGAGCAAGTTCGCCACACGAGTATGATCTTGGTCTTGAGTCAAAGAAGCTTTTGTGGAACACTTGTTGGGCAAGCACTTTATGCGGTTTGTTTTGTTGAGGTTGTGAAGTTTTGGTTAGATTTGGTTTTATAATTTCATTCATTGGATTCCCACGAGATAGGACGAAATATAAGTCGCTCACAGGGTGACGCCTATTCCTGTAAGAAGGCACTTATACAACGATGGTTGCCCGTAAACATCGAGGTTGGCGCTTGAGACTGATTGCTTATCAGCCATCCATCCTATCGGCACGGTCCACACCTTAGGATTAGGGTAATTTTTATTTTATTCAATAAAGGTTTTCTTCCTTTGAGCCCGGGCAGTTAAGCCAAGACTCTCTTCGGTTAGATCTTCTGGTGACAAGTCGTGGATATAAGATCGGAGATTGTTATCCCCTTGCCAGATATTCGGTTATAGCGCCGAAGGCTCGCTTTTGCCCTTCACATTGGCTATCTTGGTCCAGAGGTATACAAGGGAGCTCTGTTACTATTAATGTAAGAATATTGTATAACACTGTTTAGAAGGCGAATTGCCTTTACTGTGTAGACCAATCTTATTATTTTGTCCAAACATTTCTTTTTATTATTTTTATCTGTTACAAGAATAAAGATTTCTGATTTTTAAACGTGGAGACCTGTAATTGGCCATATTTAACAATTTTTAGTCAACTATGTATGTTTCTGTGAGCTGCAAAAATTAAATAAACAAATAAAATTAGATCTACCTTTAAAGTTCAGAATTATATTTAAACAAGAAACCATCTATAGTAACTTGGTAATAATAGTTGAAATTTTGTCATTGCATTCAAGACAAGTAGAATTTTACTTACGGGAATGTTGGATCAGAAAGCATTTTTCTGAACAGTTGGTGTATGTCCTCAGCTGTGAGACGTGCTTTCTTCATCCTTGTTACTCGTAATCCCTGGTCATGAAGGTGATTAAAAATCTTTCCTGCTGTCTTTGTGGGTATTGGCTTAATTAATGCAAAAGTCCTGAAAAACACCCAAATCCCAGTGTTCCGTAATCTTTCTTAACCAGTATAAAAAGTAAATGTCCATCTTTAAGTACTTAGTCTTAGTTAACTTGCACAAAACAATTAAAAACTATGTTTTATTGTAGAAACTTACACCTGCATATCCTTTTGTAACTTATTTCTTGTATCTTCACAGGCAAAATCAACAATTTTTATAAGACGTCCTAGTATGTACAAAGTACTACCAATGTAAAAACTCTCAAGATTAATGCCATTCACTTTAACTCGTCGTACAAATGTCTTTCGATTTTTTAAATCAAACATTTCTAATGTATCGTCTGTTGGGTAGTAGAATACATTAAATCGTCGTATCAAACTAGCTTGATTATCGTACCATTCACCAATAAATGAATATTTCTCTTTAAATGCCCCTTCCTAGAAATAAAATATTACTAAGTACATGTTTTCTTATTTTCTTCTGTACCACAAATTTGCCACAACTAATTTTAAATGAAAAATACCATATTAACTAAAATCTTTAGATAGCCTTGTTAAATCTAAGCAGTTCACTTTGGAAATAGAGAATCTATGTACCGAAAATAGCGGTTTATAGGTTATACAAAAATCAAAACAACAACAAAACCCAAGTTTTCTTTTTTTTTTAGTTAAGTTCTCCCTTTTCAGGGAAGGCAAGGGGAACAATGCCCATACAGCCTAGTCTTAAGTTAAATTATTCTGTTTTTCTATTTACATTAGAATGTCGGTGTGACGCATTCTAATCGACGCTTGAAAGGAAATGTTAACTAAGCGACATTTTTGGTCATATTGAGTTAAGTCTACAGTTCGAACCGTCTGAATTTTCTGCGTCGATTTGTCGTTGTCACGTCTTTCTACGTCGACTTTTGATGTCGCTTATGCATGACGGATTTTATGAATTTTCAGTTTTTTTTGTCTCTAAGAGACAAAAAGTTTGGCATATTTTTAAAAAATGTCGGTTGTCGTAGCTATTACAAGTAAGTTTTGCCCTTGGTTATTATTTGCATGTTGTTGGTGCGATAATTTCTTTACTAAGATTATTTTGCTTACACCTGTAAATATAGTTTTATGCGTATGGTACACTTCTTCCCGACAAAGTTTTTTTTTTATAATCGCTTATCTCAAATTGACTGAATTCAAATTGTTTTTTGACGGCGTTTAGTTAAAAACGCCTGTTTTATGTTTTAAACAATACACCTTGTTTCCCTTTGACTACTGATCTTATGGACACCACTTTCTGTCGGTAAGTAAATTATTACCTGCCGTTGTACAATATTATTTTAATATTTAGGTAAGTTTAACCTGAAGTTACGTTATTACTAATTGACGGTTATACCCTACGGGTACTTCACGCACAGGCGTTTAAACTTTTTTACTTGAATTAAATACATTGACAATGTGTTGGTTATACCTACAGGAACCTAGTGCGCGCTCACTTATACCTACCGTGTTAGCTTCAAAGTAACTAAGAAAGCGATGGGACGTCGCTTCGACATCACGCGCGCGTTCGTTGCAGCAAAGCATACGGAAAGAGTAAGTTTACAGCACGATCTTTTATTTGAATAGTTATAATTGTTGTTCCTTTTAGAATAAAGGATTATGTGTGTTTCAGATCAATGCATAGAACGAAGAAAAAATGTATGTTATATTTTGGAACAAGCTCTCGAATGTTCGGGAATTAACTACCGTTAATTCCCGAATGAAGAGCTATTGGCCTCTAAAAGGTCTAAAAAAGTATGCTCGAAAAACCGTAAGAACATCCAGCTAAATCTAAGGCATTGGAATCAAAGGAAAACAGTTATAATAAATCGTAATTAAAAGTATGCAATAAAATACTATCCAACTGCACTTCAATTGTACTGACCGACAGCGTCACGACGTATTACCGAGGATGCAGAGAACTATAACCATGAGGAAGTTTTTGATCAGACGAAGATTGATTCTTATGATGGTGCAGGTTCTTCGACGATTTATTTCATCCCCCCGCAGAAAAACGAAATTGCCCCAACAATCGTACCTTCATTAGCTGATGTCGCCACAGATCCTGACCCTATGCACGAATCTGACCCACTAAAATCATTTTCGATGAATAAAGCCGCCGCAGATCCTGACCCCTCGCAGAATGAAGAAACTGCCCCACCATTCTTACCGCCGATAGATGACGCCGCCACAGAACCTAACCCCTCGCTGAAAGAAAAAACTGCTCCACCATACTTACTGTCGATAGATGATGTCGCCGCAGAACCTGCCCTCGCACAGAATGAAGAAACTGCCCCACCACACTTACCGTCGATAGATAATTCCGCCTCAGAACCTGAACCTTCGTAAAATTAAGAAGAAACACGTATGGTGGGGCACTTTCTTGTCGACATATGATTCCGTTGCAGATTCTGAACCTTCGCAGAATAACATTACTCCAACAAACTTACATTTGATGAATGATGCCGCCCCTGAACCTAAGCCCTCGCAAAATTAAGAAACTGTCACACCATACTTACCGTCGATAAATGATGCCGCTGCAGATCCTGAACCCTCGCAGAATGACGAAACTGCCCCATCACCTCACCTTCGATGAATGATGCCACCACAGATCTTGAACCCTCCAAGAATGACGAGACTATCCCACCATACTAAACTTCGATAGATGATGCCGCCGCTAATGATTCGCAACACGAGGAAATAATCACACGTACAAAGAACTAACCTCTGATTGATGGTGCTGTTCCAGGTATATGTAATGTCAAAACAAGTACCCGAAACATGGACTACATGTCTGATGAAGATTGTCTCCACCGTATTTGGGTGTACTGTAACTGATTCCGATGAATGGGCAGGATCGTATGTGTTAGATAGTAGTAAAGGACAAAGCTAGACAAATAAGAAGAAAACACAAAAAAACTCAAAAAAATAAACGAAAACTGTTGAACAGAAATAAAAGTGGTGAGAAATTCAATAATATTACAAAAAAAGGTTGGTTGGCATGACTATTAGAGAACCCGTTAAACATAATCGTTTCGATTTAGAGAAGCTGTAGCAATTTCTGCTATCACCAGCCAACTCAGGGGGGGGGACCCTTATATTCAGGGCGCCGTAATACTGATATTTGAGGGAGATAAATAAAAAATCAATAACCGCAGTGAACAAGACTTATGTTTATTGTCAACACAAAGCTTTTACACAATCAAGGATCAGGAATTAAATTAACTGTCAATATTCAGAAGAATTTTTCTACATACATTGACACTCTTAATATTATTTATAAATATCTTTGTGATATACAAATAACAATATATATTTAGCTTTCACAAAGTTAAGGATTAAGAATTAAAGGTTGTACATATAATCAATAACATTCCAAGATGTTGATATTTCTTTTAAGTTAACAATTCTATTAAGATGTGGTTTTACAAACTGACAAACAATGTGCTGTGAAATACAAGTTACTTATTAATGACTTTACAATATACTAATTTAAATACTCTGATATGTTCTAGAGATACAGAAATTTTGTTATTCGGAGAATGCACTGGATGAGGATTAAATATATTCAGATTTTACTTAGCTTTTTCTTAAGATCTTGGTACCATCAAGTGATTCAAGGGTCCACATGAATTGGAACAGGACATGCTGTCATCACATGAACACGTTTTCTTTCAGGATTCAATTCACAGGCTCATTTTCATATAGCGTACTTCTTTATATATATATATATATATCCAAAGAAATTCCAAGCAAATCTAATCAATTGATTTTTCTGTATAGTGATTTTATTAGCCTCCTTAAAGGACCCGTTAATCCGGGGAAAGTATATTAATTAATAATGCACGGACTATAACTTGCTTATGAACAGTCACTCGTGCAGTTAACTGAATGTTCCAGAGTTCGATCAGCAGGCAAGAGAGAGAACTAAATCGTCTGCGCACAGCTATTTATAGGGGCATAGGGTCACGTGTGTCTGCTAGCAAATTTCTCTCATATCTCCTAATATGGTGCGAGAAAACAACTGAACCGGTTAAACAGACTCCGCCTTTCAAAACTCTTTCCAGAACATTAACTCAATAAAGACCATACGGTCGATCGCCGCACGACCCCATCGGGGCGCGCTACTCATGGGAAGATACACACTAACTCCATCTGTCGTACCTTTCAAATGCAACTATCAAATTTTTTCATTCAGAATATATTCCGTGCTTCTTTAAAGCAGATTACAATATTCGATGATTAATGTGTATGATGATAGATGGCGCTTTAAATTAATAATATTAGTATAAAATCTTTCTGTGAGTGTGTATGTCACTGAACTTCTCTTAAACGACTGGACCGATTTTGATGAAATTTTATGTGTGTGTTCAAGGGGATCTGAGAATGGTTTAGATTCACAATTTTGTCCGCTGGACAATGTTTTTTTAATTAATTTTTAATTTATTAGTAGTTGTTGATTTTGGAATGTTTTACATTGGATCCGACAGATGGCTATGTGTATATTCCTGTCAAACATTTGATGTTCGTCGTTTATCATTTCTTCCAAATTATTGTAAGCAATACGAAGTACGCTGGGTCAGCTAGTAACTTATAAAATTATGATGCTACAAAGCGTTCTAATACATTTAGGTATTATATTACCGAAGGAGAAGCGAAAAAGAGTTTTATGCTTACAGTTTTTGGCAGCAACGTTAAATATATTAGAAAAGTGTATATATTATACTGTTAGAAATGCTAATTGTGGAAGTTCTAGAGACGACTTGCGCGGAAAGTGAGAACTACCTAACAAAACTAAACCTACTAAAGAGACTGTCGTTAATTTTACACAATGTCAACTAGCAGTCCCTTCACATTAGTGTCGTAAAGATTCCAACAGAGTTTACTTACCTCAAGAATACAAAAATGTTTCCAGCTTATACAGCAATTATAGAAAACGCTTTGTGAATGCTGGCATAGATGTAGTAAAGTAAGTGAAAGAATTTTTAGAAAAATATTTACTGAAGAGTTTAATATCGCGTTCCATATCTTCAAGAAAGATAAGTGCTTGAAGTGCCTACAATTGCAACAGGCAGATATTAATAATTCAAAGAAAGAAAAGAAAAGGAAGATCATGAAACTGAAAAAGAAGAAAGCTTCAATAAATTTTCGACTGATAAATCTATATCTGGTTAAATGACTAAAGTTCGTATGTGACATTAAAAAAAATAGACCCTTGACAATTTCCATAAAAAAATCAATGAATATTTCTGCAAACTCTTTTGACGTTAAAGTTCAATCCAAAACCAATGTTCCATTAATGTCTTGCTGGCGATCACAGTTGTCGATATCAAATGCTAAATACGACGATCTTAGGAAACTTTGCAAAGATCAAGTAACACCCGCTCAATTCCATCAAGAGTACTTAATTATACCAAAGGCAAATAATGTTAAAGATTCTTTATTCTAATCAGATAACGAATTTTTGACTGATTAGCTGGGAATTTTGAAAAAGATAGGTTCTCCCTAATTATTTTTTATATAAGTCTTCTTAGAATTATTTTTTGTATTATTTTTTTTTTCAGCTCACAGGCTTAATTTTTTACATATTTTACATACCATTTTAAGTGGCTATTAAACTTTATTGTTCTTATTTAGTAGAGTCCTAAAGTATAATGTTAATAATTAATAGGGATTGTAAGTCTTAAAGTTGATTTATATTAATTTATATTTTATTTAGAACTACTTCAAGAAATATTCCTACTAAATATAGGTCAATAGTATTTATAACTGCATTTTTCTTTATATTTCTGTTAACATTTAATGATCCTAATTTCGATGACAAGTATTACTAAGTAAAATTTGCTGAGAAAGAACAACAATAAAAAAATAATTCAGACAATTTTGACTCCATTTGAAACCACTTGTGATTTTGGTTAGGTAACTTTTGCTCTGATATCATTCTTTACAGCTCCTCTATATTACATTTTGACTTTACATTTCTAGATCAAAACTTGTCGGTTAGTAAATTTTTCCCGTCACTATTTTAAGATAAAAATTTCTAAGCGACACTTAACTTTGAACCAATAACGTTCTTGAATTGTTGTTTAAGCTTCGATGTAGACCATAAAATAAGATTTCCGAAACAGTCAGAATTGCGCCCGTGGGATGATTGCAAAAAGTTATACGATTTTTTTTCTGAAAATCCAAACTTTAAACTGCTCTCCTGTAAAGTTAGCTTAATGTCGCTTAGTCAATATTTCCTTTCAAGTGTCGTAATGTTTCTTGAAGTGTTTGGCACGAAATGTATCGAGCTGGTTTTTTCGATAAGCTTCTGTGAGGTAGTCAATACTACAATAAAATTCTCACGTCCACTTGACCGGAATAGCGTATATTTTGACGATTCTACTAATTCTTCAGTTACGCAGACAGTTGTAACACAAAATCACACCAATTTTATTTCACAATATCCACTATGAACGAATTTAAAGCCTACCATTCACGGGCGCGCCAATCCGCCGGATTTGTCGCTGGCGACAAGTCCGCGGACAAATCCGCGTGTGAATGTATTGGTGAGTGCGGCTCGCGGCTCGGCGCGGCGCTCGCCGTCGAGAGACGCGAGCGCCGCGCCGCACCCCAGCCGCGCCGTACAAATCCGTACGTGTGTGTGCTTGCACAGATTTGTCGGCGAACTTGTCAGTCATTTGTAGTGCGTGCACGCAGAACGACCTCTTAAATTGTTAATTCTGTATTACGTCTGTATCACTTTTTTGACGTTTATGCGATAATGTTTTAAGTCAAAAAGTTGAACATAATACTCATTTAAGTTGATATCAAGTTAATGTCATTTTAAAGAGTAGATCATAATACGCTTAATTTGATGTCATTTTGATATCGCATTTTTCGGAGAGCATAATACGTAATGTGAAATTGACATCAAAACAATATCACAATTAGCGAACATAAAGAGCTAATTGTATCTCTTCTACAAGGGGTTTATCTCTTCTACGCATGTCCTCGGCATGAGCTCGTTCTAAATAGTCCATTACTAACCCGAAACGAGCCATTTTACTCCTTTTTATTTAAAAAAAAGGAATTTGATACAGAAAAACCACCTCCTAACTTGTTAAGTCTGTATCACATTTTTGACGTTTATGCGATACTGTTTTATGTCAAACAGTTGAACGTAATGCGCATTTAAGTTGATATCATTTTAAAGTTGATGTCATTTTGATATCGCATTTTTCGGAGAGCGTAATGAGTAATGTGAAATTGACATCAAAACAATATCACAATTAGCGAGCATAATTGGCCTGCAGTTGTGTTGTTTGTATCATGAACGAGTATAATAACATGTCGTTCGGCGATCATAAAGAGTTTTGGCAAGAATTTATCCATACAGGGAAGAACGATACGCGCGAGGCTCACCAAAGTACACAAGCGACTGGACTGCAACTCGACGCTCGTGTAGTGTGTGGGCAATGACGGATTTGTCCACGGATGGGTACGGCTCGGGGTTCGGCTCGCGGTGCGTGTAGTGAATGGTGGGCTTAAGAATAATTAAAATAAAACGCCAACCACACTCGATGAAATCCCGCCAAAAACCCCCCCAAGTTTTCTACAATCATTCGAACATTTATTGATGGATTGATGTCAATCTTTATGTCAATATTTAACTGTCATAACATAAACTTTTTTTATTATTCTCCCGTTAGGAAAGCAATCGAAAACAAAAAAATCCATATACAGTATCTTCGGAATAATAATTTTCTATAATGCGATTCAACTAAGAATAGGATCGACGGTGCGCCATATTGTGATATCATAGCTGTCAATTCAGACGAAAAAGGTAGAGTGAGCAAAAAAGTTTTTATTTAATAAAAGTTATTTACTAAGATTAAGTGAGAAAAACCATCCGATTTTTTAATAAAATTTATTTACTAAAATTGAGAAAAGAAAATAAGCGATTTTTAATAATATTTATTTATTAAGACTGTACGAGAAAAAACATTAATCAGAATTAAGCTCTTCAATACCGCTCATCTCAGCATTACCGCCGGAGTAGTTATGAATCATCATGCACTATTACTAGGTCACATACGAACATGCATTCTATATATAAACCAAAGTTTTAAATCGAGTTTCTGAACGCAACTTAAAGTGACATTTGGTTGACGATTTAGGTTATCAAACATTCATAGCCAAAGCTCAATAAATGAAAATAAAATATCAACCAATATTAATTAACAATATTTGTTATTGTTTGTTTACAAATGTTTTGTTTTATTCCATAATTAGCCGAGTGCCAAAAAAGGGTTCCAAGATTTTTTTGCAAGCCGTACTTTTCAAGCGACATTTGACATATAGAGGTCATTGGCTTTCCTATTCTTATTTGAATCGCATTATAATCGCCACGCATACGGCATAAATAAAAGAGAGATCAAAGTCCATGTAACAGATTGGATACCTCTTTTACTCTTATGGCAGCCTCACAGTGGATAAAAAGAGAGAAAGCTTCTTTTGGCAGGACGTCAGATTCAATGCAGTGTGCGTACACCTTGGACGAAGGATTTCGCTAATGGACGCTTTCTTTTTGATTTTGACAAGCTTCGTCTTCCGTCCTCTCTTAATTTCGTCTCACTGAGCAATGCATAGAGAAAAGTAATATTACGAGCAATGTTTCGTGTCACTTCTGAAGGATGACCTTGGAGCTTTGTATTTACCTGTCTTATCGTATCCTTTGTATCCTTTGTATTCTTTTTAGCTTTCGTAAATATTATACATTAAGTAATGATAATTAGATGCTCTTCAACGAAGAAATTTGACTAATGTTTCAAAGATTGAATAATTAACAACCCAATTTAAAATGGCAAGTTACATTACTACCTATACCTTAATTCCACTATCGTACATACCTGTCGCAAAGATTTTTGCCTGTACGTTTTCTCAAGCTTACCTCCAGAATCACGGATTTGAAGTAGCTTGCTAACTTCAACTATGATTTCTTATCATTATCAATTTTAAATATTCAAATCACAATAAATTAGTTTCGCCACCAATACGTTTCATTCCCATAATTGTTCTTCAATAATACTTACTCATAAAAAGATAACAGTCTGTCTGTTACCTCTTCACCACTAACAGATTTAGAAGATATTTGCTATAGAGATAGTTTTAGTCTCGAGGAAGGAAATTAGGATAGCTTTTAATAGTGATAAAGCTACCTACATAATGATACGGTGGTCCTCAGATCCTCCCACAAAATGTATGTTGTATGTAGGGCTAGTATTGGCTAGTTATGTTTTTTTTTTGTGAAATAAAAACTTTGATCCGTGTTTTTGTAAATTTACTTAAGTGGCGTTTAAACGATTTTGCTTTTCCATTGTCGATATTATTGTCGATATATGCTTTATCTTATCGCAATAAACAAAGTTTACTAGTGCAAAGCCGGGGCGTATCGCTAATATTAAATAAATACATTGGTTACACTTACTACTTTTTAAAACTTACATTATTTTTCTTTTTAGCCGTATGATTACTTCGATAAATATACTTTTTTATGCGAAATGTATGACGAAGATGCCGATGAAATCATAGAACTCACCTTGATTTTTTTCCCCTTTGATAACTCTGTTCAAGTAATCAATGCTGGAAAGGGCAAGACGTTACTTAAACGCGTACAACTACCCACTTTGAAGTTAAACATGTTACAAATAGGGAACATAGTGAATATTTTTTCAAAACTACTTCACATCATTGATTGTGCACCAGCTACCCGGCATACATTATTTAAAAATGAAGAAAGGTTTGTATGATACGTTAACCTCACCTCAACTGTCCTTCACATAGCGAATTTTAAGGTTCCGTACCTAAAGAGTAAAAATGTAACCCTATTGTTGTCACTCTGTCGTCTGTCCGACTGCCTGTCCGTCTGTCAGTATGTCACGGGTCTCTAGATCGTAAACGGAATAAGTTGCAGAACTGAAATTTTAATATTTTAAGCAAAATGCTTGCCCAAAGCCGAATATTTAGTTAGAAATTCATGTAATTTTTATTGGGGGAACAGACATGAAAAGCAGACGATTTTTTTTCTTTTTTACCCTCACAACCTCACAAGTGACACATCATCGTCTGTAGCTGTTTCCGAAGGATAAATAAATATATATATTCCTCCTTTAATATTCAGTACGACTTTCCCTGTAACCCTGTGTATATATATATTTTATAATAGTATATATATAATTTTAAATTTTCAATAACAAAGAAATGGGACCTCAATCAAAGTAATTATTTTTATACCATTTTTGTTACAGGGTCTATCACATAATCGAAACTAAGTAGTTAGGAATGTGAAAATTTGATATATGATGTCCCAAATACTGTTTTTAAATAACAAATACTGAAAACTCCGGTTCCTAATGTATTTTGTAAGTTGTGACAAAAAACAGATGATGTACAACAGACGTGCGCGAGTGCGACTCGCACTTGCTCGGTTTTTTATTCACATTTGCACGAAAATTATTAATTCTTAAAGCTGATGATACAGAAATTGTGTTTTTCCCAACGATATTACATAGTACCTAAGTATCTTTCTACTTGAAAATCATGATAACCTACGACTGCCAGAATTTAGTATTTTTGCAAGATGAAAATTCTGGGTTGTACTATAAATAATTATCTTCTTAAACAATGTTTAACGTAAAATTAAGACACTCCTTAACCTCTGTTTAACGTATGTGGTTTCATCCCTAATTGAAGTTTTCTTTTATTACTGCTCGTAATATCAATAAATCTTATCTATATATTTCAGTACGTTTGCACTTATTAAGCCAATACCTCCAAGTGAACATGGTAAAATAATAACATACATCATGCAAAAAGGATTTCGTATTGTGCGCATGAAAAATGGCAAACTAGGCAAAGAATTCGCAATGGAACTATATAAAAGTATCGCTGGAAATAGTATGCTGCCGTAAGTAATTTACCAAAGTACTTATTTATAAACATCTTAACATACGCAACTCACGCACAATAGTTATTTATTATACAAGAGTGGAAAGTTCCTTTTTAACCGCGTGCTCGATTTGGATGACCGAGCAAGCGAAGGATTCTAAAGTTGAATCACGAGCGCAGCGAGTGATTCTAAATTAGAATCCTGAGCGTCAGCGAGGGAAACAAACGAGCACAAGGTGAAAAATCTTTCCACTCGAGTGCAATACGTAACTTTTCATCCCACCTCAGCGAGGAAATGACAAAATGAAAAAGAAAACAATTTATAATGACAAAATATTTTTATTTCAATTAAAACACATTAAGATAATCTATAAATTGAAGAAAATAATAAGAAGTAGAAAATAATTAAGAAATATTAAATGTAACGTTGCTACAGTTACTTATGTTAAGTTTAATATTTTTGTTAGGTAATGTTATGTTGGTGTTTGTGAATTGTGCGCTGTTTTGTGGTAAACTACTCGTATCAGTAATTTTAAATAGTTGTGCCGATTCATTGGATTCTATTGGCGTAAATGTTGGCGAGAGAGGGCTATTGTTTCCAATCTTATGGGGGCTCATTTTAGATGTAGAAGGGCGAGACCAAGAATCTGACAGAGGTTCTTTCAGCGTTATGGCCTCCACGATACTATTACAAATTTTTGATTTACTTTGGATTGAATCCTCTATGTAACCCTCTACAACCGAATTAGACTTCCAGCCTCCATGGCGCTTAAGCGATAGAAGATCAGCCCCTGATTCGGCCAAAAGTGTGGCTGAGGTTCTTCTAAAACAGTGACCGGTGTATAACGGGGGTTCTAAAAGTCCGAGAAAAGTTGCTATTTCTCGTGGAATACTGCCAATTTTATTCTGACCCATAGGTTGTCGGATACACTTTCCGTTGCGATATTGTAGAAAAAATCGTTCAATTGGGGTGTTAGAAGGACGTAAAGCTTGATATTTCTGAACAATGTTTACATATTCCTTGCGAATAACGAAGTTGCGGTCTTTTTTTGTCTTGGTATTTAGTACATTAATTAATAGCAATTCATCAGAATTATGAGAATATTTTGATACGTTATTGACATTAAGTAGTGTAACTTCATTTGTTCGACATGCTCCGGTTATACCAATAATAAGAACAACCTGTAACAAAAGAAGTATTTATAATCGTAAATAAATTAATCAAATTAAAAATATTGTAAGTACTATGTACAATTTTATCAACAACAAAAAATTACACGTATTGACTTACTTTTGCCGCTAAATATACGGAATCAGGTGCTTCATTAATAAACTTTGCAATTTCAGATGCTGTGAAAACCTTCGATTTTTTTGGTTTATAACCAGATGAGGCTCTTTTTAAAAATGCCACTAATTTATGATAGGTGTCGATATGAACGTCTTTCTTCATCTTAATTGTTAATTTTAGCATTGAATACGTACTCCATAGCGTGCTTGCTTTCTTGGTCTCAGATAATTCTATAAAATATGCCAGCAAAACGTTTTCGGAGAAAGTTTTTGCTCCTTTAGCTAGTCGCCACATGTTAAATATATCGTACTGTTTCAAATACTTCTCTCGTGATTGCTGAGGGAGAAGGCTCATTTGCGCATTATTAACTGTTTCAGTTAACTCAGTTGGCGTTAGATAAACTTCATCGTCGCTAATGTCACTCATTTTAGTTGATTTTTTTGTACAGTTTTTAGGTTATGTTAATTATATTAAGCAATAAAACGTGAAAAACTAGAATGGCGCGAAGCACGCAAATAAAACAAAGAAACCAAGAAGGTTCCAAATTTAAATTTTTTCACAATTTAAAAAGTTCTAATCATAAATTTGGCACCATAGAGGTTACATTAAATAGGTTTAATGACGTTTTGAATTTACAATTATATTGAGTACTCATTATATGTGATGTTCTAAATTCAAATCTACTTTGCCGCTCAAGCGAATAAAATAGAATTTTCCAGCCAGATTTCGAAGCGCAAAATTACACTTTCCGAGGTGGTGGGATGAAAAATAATGAAAATTCGCAATCAAGACGAGGGTAAATTCTTCGAGGAAGACCTCCATATTTATCTGAATTCAACAAGTAATACTCTATTTGTTGTAGTTCCTCAATACTTCACCATTTCGAGGAGCATTATTTATTCCCTTTTGGTGATAGCAAGTGTGATGCCAGTATCTCCAGTGATTTCGGTTCCACATTCACTTGAGGTTACACATTCGTATCCTAATTAATACCTTCGATTGGACTGACTCCCGACCTGACCCCAGTCAGAAGTGGGCTTATCTCAATTTTGGAGAAGGAATGCAGAAAACTTATCAATAATTATAATTAAAGAAGTTTATTCTTAGAAGAACCTCAACAATGTTCATACTTAGAAATAACCCATTACCCACACAATGACCCATTCCATAATTCTAAGTACAAGTAATGAAGTCGGTGTTTATTTTTGTTCAATATTTACACTTTTATGACTATAGCATTATCATCGATTACGTGACGTCGGGGGAGGTAATAGGACTTGAACTCGTAGCTTCCGACGCCGTCAAAAAATGGCGGCAGTGCCTTGGCGCCACTGACCCCGCTGAGGCAGCTCCCGGTACTCTTCGCAAGTTGTATGGAGAAAATAAATTAAGAAACACGGCACATGGTTGTAACACTTTAGAAGATGCAATTGAGGTTAGAACTTCAACAAGAAGGTACCATGAAATTCATTACACGGCCTTGGGGTGTTTCAAGCTAGTGTTATTGGTTACTAACAGATAGAATACATACGTTACAGAGATATGCATATTTTTGCAAAAATATATGTACACAGCCGTGACTTACAAATGCTCGTATCCATCACACAAACTTAAGCCCCATCGGGATTCAAACCCAGGACAGGACCTCTGACCAACGAAACGTAGGACCCACCCGCAGAAATACATGTGGTAGGTAGGACACAGGCGCAGTCAGACTCAAATTTTGGAAGAGGTCGCTAATAATTAAATTAAGATTTTATTATTAGTGACCCCGAAGAACTTCAGTGACGATGTCTTTAAATGGCTTTTGCTGTCTCGTGCGTCGTGCCCTAGTAGACCAGAGACGATAATTTTCGAAAACAAAAAATTTGGAACATGTTTGCAAATTGTCCAAGATCCCAAGGCCGCCAGACCTTACTTGCATGCAACTTTTTTGATGAGTATATTTCATAAGTCAGTGATTAGGTATATAGTAGTATAGTATTAGGTAGCTTTATTAACAGGATAGATGGTAAGAAACAATGTTGCCTTCTCTTCATTGTACAGAACCCTAATAGAGCGATGCCAGACTCTCGCTTGGCCAGTTTTTTTACCATTAGTAATGATAATGTACGTGTTGTTGTCTGATGGATGTTTAAGTATTTACCTACAAATTGTTTATTTCAGATGCTAGAGCTATTTTTTGGCTATGAGAAAGGAGTGCCTAGAATTCCTTTTCGTGCAACATTCAAAGACTGCACATGCTGTATTATCAAACCTCACGCCATTATAGATGGCAACGTAGGAGCCATCTTGGAACAAATATCTACATCTGGGAAGTTTTATATATCTGCAATGGCCATGTTTTCTGTAAAATTAGCTAATGCTGAAGAATTTTACGAGATATACAAAGGTGTTTTGCCGGAATATGAGGTAGTGTTCAAAGCAACTTCCTCTGTCATCAATCTGAAATTATCAGAAATTGTTGTCTATATAGTAATTTAGGTTATTGACGGGATTGTTATCATGTGCCTTGTTTTTATCGAGTTTCCGATATTTCAGCACTGTTGCACGCGCCATGATCGCGGAGTAACTGAAGCAATTGCGGGTAGGATGTTAGTGGCAGACATATCAGTCTATCCTCCGACAGTCTTTTATTGCGTTCGATGCCACTGTTCACATTCTCACTATTCACTCAAATGTGTACCGATTTTTAGTTCTCGTTACGTCCGTTATGGCGCTGCTGTTGAATTTTCCATACAAAATTTGTCAGTGACATTTCGCACTCGCAAACTATTCGAATTCGATATTGGTTCGTGCTAAGGGTACTGTTTTCGACACAACACTCACAGTATCGGAACACCAGTGAGTATGAAAACAAACGAGTGTCCGGAATCCTGTGGTTCGTACAAGTGCAAAAGCCGGAATAATGAAGTGTCGTGTCGTGATCCGATACTGTGAGTGTTGTGTGTCGAGAAGAGTTTCGAGTGAATAGCAATTATATTAAATACAATAGCTACAACAATACGAACAAAATCGTTGCCGAAACCTGTCAAAAAGGCACATTGGTCGATCCTCGGAGCGCCGTAAGATGATCGCGTAGTCAAAAACAATATAAGGCATTATTTAATCATTGAATATCACCTTTGATCCATACTGTATGAGGTCATAACGCATGCGTCAGACTTGTGACAGTTCGAAATGCAAGTTCGTAAAATCTTGCGACTTATTGCTATATGCGGAAGAATATAGACCTTATTGACTCTACACGCAATTCTGAATGCACTGTTAACAATATAGTGCCGCGGGTGCAGCCGACGAAGCGCCAGCCAACTGATAGATTGATAAATAAATAAATAGGTATTTGTAGGTTTTTTCTTTCTTCCCGCTGTTTGAAGCGATATTTGTTTGGTGACGCTAGTAGCACCGCAGTGGGAACTAAATTTCAATCACCTGACCGATTTTACGTCCGCTCTGTTCAAAGTGCTATATTACAATCCGCTAACTAGTTGGACGTTGAGTGACGCTTGTTCAATCAACGTTCGGCCTAGTCATTCAATTAAATGTCGTCATTCAATGAACGCGCTTTTCATTCAATGAAATAGCAGATTCAACCAGATGACGGCAACATATTATATATCAGTTTGTAGTAGGTAAGTATTAAAACAAACTGCGCGTGACTGTGAAAGTGTGAACCAAGAAGTGCTTGAGTGGTGTATTTAACATCGTTGGTGAATAGTGAGAACTATTAGCGCAAAATTAGCAATCCCGGAAATAAAATAATTATTATAATTTTAGTGACCATGAAAGTTTAACAATATAATTATTGTTGTCATTGCCGAAACTACTTTTGATTTTAGGCAATGTGCATTCATCTGGCAGAAGGTAAATGCATTGCGTTAGAAGTAAAATGCAATGACCCGACTTTAAATTGTGTCTGTAAGTTCAGAGAGATATGTGGTCCTAGGGATCCGGTTAGTTTTAATTTAATTTTTTATCCTTTATGGCCAGTGATCGTCCATTAATCACGAGTTGTTTGTAGCAACTTTTTAACCCCCTCCCCCTATTAAATATATAAAAAATAATAAAGGAAGGTGTAAACACATATATTTTTAGATTAATTTATTTATTATGGCTGTTTATGTCGCACGATTTCTGAGTCATCAAAAAATAAATACACGTGGTCCTCATATTAACAAACACCGAAACGAACGAAACAAGATAATATTGACAGACATTGCCATTAGATTTTAAAAATATTTTTCCGTTTCACAGAAGTAAAAAACCAATATCCGTTTATATATTACAAAAATGTTTAAAAATATAGTATTTTCTTCTTTATTTTGATGACTTTATTCTTCTTTTGTTTAATTTATCAAATAATTAAAATAATTTAGTTACATATACTGAGCAATAGCTGCTATTAATGTTATTCTTAAGTGAAAACTATTGCATAAGCCGGAACTGAACCGCGACACTGTTTTCGCATTTTATTATTGCTATGGATAATGTGATGTTTCGATATAGAAACCTAAATTATTTTATTTCTAAGTGTAAGCTTTTAAAAGTCTAGTTTATATTTTAAAAATAACTGTCCCCTTATTTAAAATTTTAATGTTTCCATCATTGAATAGCTTCTAAAACATTTGGGCCACAATCGCCTTTCTTCTTTGTTATTTGATCTTGAGCCGTTTGTGTTCTTTATAAAAGCATCGAAGGCATTATTTTATCTTTATAACACAGAATATACGCAATATTGGTATATTGGCACATGCAGCGTGTTTGAATGTCCAATTGTGACTAAAGCGAATTGTGGTCATGCACCACAATTTAAGCGGATCACTTCTGAGCCGCGAATACCGTATCTTCCCTTTTTGTTTTAATCTAAAGTTCAGACGGTTCAAATCGATTTAACAATTGATCAACTAAAATCATCTCATCTGAAACCGGTATTAGTTACGGTTTTCTAAACGTAGTCTTGCATAGATTTAAATTTCAACATTAATAGCATCTGTCAGACTTGGTGGAGTGAGCTGGTGAGTTTAGGTTTGTCCCGGCTGGCGGACTATTCGGAAACGGATACCGCCACATCACTCGCACTCCCGGTGCGCACTAGGAGGGACCGCGGTCCCTCATAATGCGCGCCGGGTGACCGGTGCAGGAGTATTGTCTAGTTTTTATGGTCGCCCTTGTGGCGGTCGCCTTCTTGGCGAGGTAGGGCCCCGTTGGCTTCTCGGAGCACTTGTGTTCCCTGAAGCGGCGGAGAGGAGTCCCCGATAGCTTCGTCCGCAACCCTCGGTTGGCGAAGTATGCATAATGCATTTTCTAGACATTAAAAAAAAAAGGTTTGTCCCGGCTGCGTCTAAAGTCGTTAGCATCCACCAATCCGCACTGGGCCCGCGTGGTGGATAATGGCATGGCCCAATATTCCTATTCCATTCATAGAGAAGGCACATTAACAGTGGGGACATTAAAACGCTGATGATGATGTTTATTAAAAACAATGCAAAACTTCTTTATAAATACTTTATTATTTAGGTTACTTAAATTCGATATCATACAATTATAAGTAACTTAAAAAAATAATTAAGAATTATTCACAGGATCTATGTCGTCAACTATATCCTAATTCTATAAGGGCGCAATATGGGAAAAATATTGTCCATAATGCAGTCCATTGTACGGATCTTCCTGAAGATGGCGACCTTGAAGTAGAATATTTCTTCAAACTCCTTGCCAATGATTGAAGTTGAAATTAAATTACTAAAGCTGTCACTTGCGTTTATATTCATTTTTAATTACAAAATCATTACCTTCTATCTCTATTTTTTCATACATCCACTTTCTGTTGACCCTAAAAATAAAAACATTTGTGTGAAACAGCATTACGATGTAGCTTTCGTTTAGTTAAATTTTTATTGAAATAGAAGGGATGCTTCTGATACCGACAGAAATGGATATCATTAGTTTAGCTATTAGCAGCCGCCCGTGACTTCATCCTACTTAACTTTAGCTTTTGAGAATCCTTCAGGATTCCGGGGATAAAAGTGTCCTGTCTTAACCCAGTTAATAAACTATAACCCCCATATTAATAAACGAAGATTAAGCTTAGACTAGTTACGCTGTGTTTTGTACATTTCACTGAAGTGCCATTTGTCATTCAATGGACACAGGCAAAACATAGAGTAACTAATCCAAACTTAGGCCCGTATTACAGAATAACAACTAAGTGTTCATCTTTATAGCAAATAGCGGCATCCCTTTCTAACTGTACTCAAGTAAAGATCAACACTTAGTTGTTTTTCTGTAATACGGTCCTCTGTCTTCGTTTATTAATAAGAGGGTGTGTGTGCCAAACATCCGAATCCTTTTTTGCGTGACTAAGTAACAAACATATATAATTATAAACTTTTACATCTATTTTAAGAAAAAGAAAAAAATGAATCGCCAAAATTGCATGTACACGCAGCGCATACCTGCATTTTGGCGAGTAACACGCATAACTTTCTATCGACTGCACCAAACTGAATAATTAATTATTTTTCGTGTGCGTTATGTTCAGGACAAAGTTTGTTTAAAAGAATATTTAAAAAGATCTAACAAAAATAATATGGTTGTACGAAGTTCCCCGGTTCAGATAGTTTGATATCATATTATGTAGTAGGATTGTACTTATTAGTTTGCCGATACATTTTGTAAAGCGCCGCCTTTAGCAGCGGTACAAACTTATCCGCATGAGTAAAAAGATGTACGGAGACAAAGCTTCATGCAACAGCGCTGCGTTCGTTTCACCACTACAAGCAAGGTGCGCGTGTTTTAAGTAAGCACTGGCTGCCTGTCACGTATACAGTAACATGTCATTGCCAGTGAAACAGCCCTTTCACAAAATTCCGCTGCTGCAGTTTAGGTTTAATACGCCGCGAGCCTGCCGAGTCGCATGACCGAGACAACGACACTACGATGTTCAGTATAGTGCGCTATACCAATTTGATACTTTAGTATGATGCAACTAACAAGTTATTCAACAAGTGTAAAAAGGAAATTTAATTAGAGAAACTAAGATGGATCCTGAAAGTAGCAACGATTGATTCTAGATTGTAATCTTGGCCGAAGCGAAAAATACAAGGATGAAGATGTTTCTTTCTTCACAAGTCACTCACATTTTTAAAGTGAAACTGATTACATCGCTACAAATTTTTTCATTCATCTTTAGTATGTATCATTACATTTTTGACTGTTAGCAAAAAATCTTACCATCGTCAAGCATCGGTGCTTCAGTGGTAGAAAGTTCGCCTGCTACGTGGGCGGCCCAGGTTGGAATCCCAGCCGCGGAAGGACTTTATTTTATTAATGATTTTAAAAGTGCTCTTGTATCGTGATTTTTTAAAATCACACATTTTATTATCATTGTGAGAAAATGAATGAAATATTATATTGTTTTACTTACTTATAACGTTTAGTACGAATATATATTGCTTTTTTGTATATTATTTGTATGACTTGTGCTTGTTCCAAATTCAAAATATTTTTATTTATTTTTCATTACTTAGTAAATAAGAGTTTATTTTAACTGTTATCGATGAATAGAATGCACTTTTTCGAGTAACTGACTAATAAAAATATTTTATTTACGTTTTTCAAGTACTGACTTATCTACCATTTGATCACCGCACGGCCCGATCGGGCCACGCGGTAAAATACATTGCACCGTCAAACACCGCACGGCCCGATCGGGCCGCACTCCCCACGGGACTATAAACCGGGTTTCGTGATGGTTAGAGTCTACTCTTGAATGAAGAAGTTTTACTATAGACAAACGTGGATAAATTCTCATTCTCCAGAGCAAGGGTGCTCAACCTTGAACTGCTGGCGATCTACCTCTAAATTTTTAGACTACTTACGATCGACTCTGAGAAGCTGCAAGTATGTGCGATGCAGGGTTGTCGTACATACACGATACACCCGACCTACCTTCCTACTTAGATATGGTGTACCGTAGCATATATTATGCTTAAACGGTCGATCGCGATCGACATGTTGGGCTTTTTGCGGTCGCGTCCGGCCAAATATGTACGTGTTTAAGTTTAATATGTCAGAGTGGCGATTCGTACGACGATGGGTGGACGAGCGTCCGAGCGGACAAGAGAGCAAACTGTTGGCGCGTGCGGCACGTGACGTGAGCGTGACTACCCGATGTCTGATATAATAAATATGTCCGGCTTTTAGGGCAAAATGTCAGTTTATGTAGCCTTATATAGTGCGCAGTCTTTGCATTTTATGGCCTGGCAACCCTAGGCGGGAGAGGCCTCTCCGCGCAGGGTTGCCAAACATGATACGAGTTAGACAGAAATCTTGTACACTTTGATATGAGATTTGAACAATGTTGACTGTTTGTGTCATGTACACAAATCGAAAATATTATCAGAAAGTCCTTATTCGTTGGCCGGGGTAATCAGTACTTTTTGTACTTAATTTGTAGATACTGACTTCCTGTATGTACACAACCCAACAGCATATTATTGAACTATTTCGATACTTTTACATTACATTACAATCTAGGTTTATAAACACAAGGTTTCCAGAAATTAAGTTAGTGGAATGCAAAAAAACAATCAAAATATTAGGACATGTGTTCATGTTTTTCATCCAAAGACTGTAATTTCTTGAATTAAAAATAACCTTTTATTTCTTGCCTAACCTAATAGCCTTGTTTAATACAAGCTATCATGGGGATACTAGCCATTAAACCCTCACGGACACTAATTTAGATATAAATAAATAAAAAACCTGCTAAGTGCGAGTCGGACTGCACAGAGGGTTCAATAAAAAACCCTGTAGGTATATAATAATTATTAAAAAATAATGTGATTTTACTAAAAATTTAGAGTTTGCGCATTTTTTCCGTTAACTGTGCTAAAAGACTTTGCTTCGTACCAAATTTCAAGATTCTGAGTTCACGGGAAGTACCCTGTAGGTTTGAGTCCCTTGTGAGTTTAGAAAATTTGTGGCATAATCTTTTGATTGCATTGGCTTAGAAGTTTGATTTTTCCACTGCTCTAAGGGACAGTAGACCTGAGTATTTGATTAAAATTTCAGCTTGATACCTCCACTAGTCCCTGATAAAAAGGGTCTTGACAGATTGAAAAAGGGACGGACAGACGGACAACAAAGTGATCCTATGTGGGTTCCATTTTTTCCTTTCGAGGTATGGAACCCTAAAACTGAGGGATTTTATGCCAGATTACAGGACTTTCAAGAAGTACGAGATATTATTTTAGCAGTGGCAAAAAGTGGCCTGGGCAGTGTAGCTATCCATCCAAGGCAGCTAAAAATCATGCTACAGAACTTACAGTAATTATATTGGGAGAGATTTTACCTGCATTCATGACCACACTTAGTTGAATTGCACCTCAAGCAAGGAAAGTGACATCCAGGACATCTTTCATCTAAACAATCACAAAGATCTTTTCCTGTTACAGCTATCTGACCACGTTCATTGTATATACTTTTACTTTTGCGGCTGCAGTAAAAAAATATTAATTTAAAGTCTATTCTTAGTCAGAAAATTACTAACTTCCCATTCTGGACTACGAGTTCATGAAATATATAGACTATGATACCTGCTAACTTTACCACTTTCTCCTGCAGCTATTAACAGCACACAGGTAGGGTTACCATTTAGGAATATGAAAAGTGCTGACAGTCCGGACTTTTTAGTCACAGCATGGTACCATTACTCACTTAGTTACAATTGTATAGTATTTCAATCAATTCATATTCAATGTAACTTAAAAAATCCGGACTGTTCTAAACGTCCGAACATGTCCGAACTAATCCGGACGGATGGTAACCCTACACACAGGGTACTTGTGCCCGTCTATTAGTACTATGGGTAGAGCAACTGAAGCCACGAATAATAATAGTTAAATTGTAAAATGCGTTGTTGTGGTGTGGTTGTGAGCCTGAATACCTATGCTATTCTTGTATCATAGTACTAACAATTCTACCTCTCAAACATTGGCAAATATGATGAAGTTACTAACAAAAAGTAAGGTCGTTCCACTTACTTGATATAATAACTTTTGCGATTCAGTTTACGTCTTTCACGAGCTGAGGTTTCTGGGTCAAAGTTATCCAAAAAATGCATGTTTTTCATAAATTCTTTGATTTTTACCGTAGAGAGAGAATAGTTCTTTCACGTTATTGTATGTACTTCTTTTTCTTTTTTTTATGGCATGCACGGTTTGTGCGTTCAGCCAATGTCAAGTAAAAATTGTGGAAACAGTATAGGAGAAAAGGAATCGGAAATATTACGAAATTTGGAAAGGATCAGGATTGTAGAAAATATACATATTTACATTTAAAGTTTAATATTATTGAGCAAAAGGAAAGATATAACACATTTATACACAGATAGGTCATTAGTATGTAGAAGTGTAGCTATATTGGTCGGGAATATGAAGTGATGATAAGTCATTGAAAAGTAAGGATCTATGGAACAGAGGACAGGAAAACACAATGTGATCAACATTTCCCTCATCTAACCCGCAGTCACACCTAGGATTATTTATTATATTGAGTTTGGCAAGATGGGAAGGCACAGACGAATGGCCCAGTCTCATTCTGTTAATCATGGACGTCTCCGTCTTACCAAACTTCATATTGAAAAACCAAGGTTTAGAAGGAATGTCAGCCTGAATTGCAGCATAAAATTTACCTCTTGTTAGTTTAATATATTTCCACATTTGTTCCCATCCTTCATGCAATACAGATTTAGGAATAGCTAATAAATCTAAACAATAATTCTGGAACGGAAAAACATCGCCACATGATTTAGCATCTCTTGCCAGTCGGTCAGCTAATTCATTTCCAGCTATGCCGATATGGGCAGGAATCCACGCAAATTCTATATGCTGACCATTTTTGATACATTCCTGTGTCATTTGTCTAATATTAAAAATGATAGGGGAATAATTTTTCAATTTAAATGGGAACTTTTCTAGTGATTGTAAGGCACTTTTTGAATCTGAAAATATTACAGCAGATTTAAGTTTCATGATTTTAATGTATTCAACTGCTTTAAAAATACCAAAACATTGTCCTGAATAAACCGACGATTCTGGAGGAAGTTTAACTTTTTGCACTATATTATACTGAGAATGATAAACTCCTATCCCAACACACGTAGTCGATAAATGTTTAGAAGTATCGCAAAATATATGGTGGAAATAATTAAATACAGTATTAATAATAAGAGAAAATTTTAATTTAGCATTCAAATCATATTTGTCTTTAGTAGACATATCATAATGCATGACAGGAGAATAAGTTAAAGCTTCAAACGGAACATTAAACATAGGAAGGAAATTAGAACTGTGTGTGGGGGCAGAAAGTGAAGCAAATCTTCTATAACTAATTAAAAGACATGGTAGAGATTTATTGGCGCAATAACTAGAAGTTTGAATTTTTTCATTGAGTACTATAAGTAAAGCAATGGATGATTAGAAAATTGCATTGTACGAACAAAGAACTTGTCGCAGATGAATTGCCGTCGCAATACTAAAGTAGGTTCACAGCATTCTACTTGCATAGAGTTTATTGGACTCGACTTCATGGCTCCTAATATTATTCGAATGGCTTTACTCTGAATTTTATCTAGTTTATTAAAGGCTGTTATATTTCCTGGTTCTAGCAAAAAGGAGCCACAATCTAAAATGCTTCTTATTAGAGCATTATAGATCAATTTCAAAGAATACGAGTGAGCACCCCACCAAACTCCTGACAGGCACCTTAGCATGTTCAATAAGCGTTCACATTTGTTAACTATTCGCAATGGCGGTTGCCATTAAACTTAGAATCTAAGACGACGCCCAAAAATTGGACGTGGTCCGCAACTGGAATTAGAGTGTTATCGTAAGTAAGAGAAATGGGATTGACTTTATTATTGCGTGAAAAAATAACAACAGAACTCTTAGAAGCAGAAAGTTCCAAGCCATTAGAATCCGTCCAACTTTTTAAATTTGACAATGCTGCTGACAAAAACTTCTGCGACTCATTGATGGATTTATTAATATTATACAACAAAAGGTCATCGAAATACTGAAGTATCTTAATATTGTTGTTTGAGCAAATAGTGTTTTCTAAATCGTGCGTGTAAATATTATATAAACTAGGACTAAGCACAGATCCCTGTGGAAGGCCTTTAGAAACTGTCCTGGAAAAGACAACATCATCGTTGTGTATGTTTATAATACGGTCTGACAACATTTTGATAATAATATTAGTGATGATAGGGGGAACATGTAAAGATTCTAGTTTATATTTGAGTATATCCAATAAAACATTGGTGTCGATTCTGGCGTGATTCTCTAAACTTAAAACTAAATTTAACATCAATCTCTCCTTGTCATTCCGTATAGAGAATGACAAGGATACACTGTTGTCAAATTTAAGTTTAAGTTTAGAGAATCGTGTCAGAATTGACACCATTGTCATACGCGGAGACAAGTCAACAAATACAGCTACTAACGAATTGTTGTCTGCAAAAGCTATGCGAATATCTGTGGTAAGGATAGAAATATTATCAAGAGTGCTTTTACCTATCCTAAACCCATACTGGGTATTAGAAAATAATCCTTTGCTCTCAATAAACCATTCTAAACGATTTTTAATCAAATGTTCCATTAATTTTAACAAAACTGACGATGAAGCGATGGGACGATATGAAAAAGCTTCAGATTGATTTTTTCCCGGTTTTAAGATGGGCAACGCTATTTGCTGTTTCAAAGATGGAGGGGTGTCCACTCTGAAAAAACATCGATGTATTTTTTGATTCGATACATCGCAAATATACATCGATGTCAAGCGATGTATCGGATGAAAACATCGATGTATTTCAAAAATCGAGTATTTTTTCTTAAATTTAAAAAAAATTTGCTGTCTGGCAATAGAATATTAGAAATATATGTACTTAAATCTTAGTTTGTTTCACAAAACCAAAGGTTATTAAATGTTTATAAACATAGAAACTCGTAGTTATTTTTTACTGTCACTGCACTGACTCTTGCGCAGTGCTGCCAACATCGGAGCCATATTAGAGAATTCGGAATGCTTTCATAACAGTAATAAGTAAAATTTTAGTGGTCAAACTTAAGTTTTTCTTTACTGAAGTTAAACCAAAAAGAGGATATTATCACTACGTGGTCAAACTGTATTACCAATTCGATGTTTTTTTTAAACATCGATGCATCGAGTATATTGAAAGCTTTTCAAAACATCGGATCGATTCGATGTTTTTCATTGCAAACATCGATGTTTTCGATGCATCGATGTATATGGCAACACTGACGTTGTAACGAACGGACGTGTATTTGGTGTCATAATTTGTTTTAAAAATATTTATTAGGGAATATTACAATAAATGATCACGAAATGTTCGGGCTGCGAGGCCCCAATATACGACGTTTTGTATATGGAGTGTACGCAGCAATTATGTAAGAAGCTATACCATCTGAAGTGCCTCGCTCTTACCGTAGAAAATTTTGAAAATTTTACCCAGGATTATAAAGATACATGGATCTGCCCGGAGTGTGTACGTATTATTCCGAAAAAGGACAACACAAGAACACCGGTACGTAGCAGTGTTACGATGAATACGACATTTACACCAACCAATTTCGTTAATATCGAGCGCGGTAGTCGTTGTAACGAAAAAGAATTCATTGTATCGCCTATTGAGAATAAGCTCATAGAGGAGTTAAGAGAATTTGACGAGAGATGAACATAAAATTTGAGGAACAAAGGAAGCAAAACGCATTATTACAAAGTAAATTTATAAAATCTGAAAAAGAAATCAAAGAATTAAAAGATATGTTGAGGGTAGTTCATGAAAAAACGGAAAGAATTGTGGATTTAGAATGCAAAATAGATGAACTTACAAAAAGAAATATGGAATTAGAAAACACCCGGAAAAATAATCAGGTGTACCAGCAGCAGATAAAACCAAAAGATTCCAAAGTATCATTTGTGGAAATAGTAAAACAAAATAAATCAAATGTTGAGGAATGTGTGGCCACGAAAACGACAAATAATGTGAGTAGTGAGCAAAAACTTTCTAATGACATGATAAACGGCGACAAAAATAAAGGAAATAAGTCAAAAATAGAAGAAGATTGGACGACTGTCATGAATAAAAAGAAAAGAAATAAATATTCCAGTCACGAAGTGAAGAAAGGTGGAATATCTAACGTGGACGTTATACAAGGTACTGAACGGAAAAAATATTAACATATATGGCGTTTGAATAAAGAAACTACGGAACAAAATTTGGAAAAGTATGTTAAAAGCTTATATAAGGAGGAGATACAGATAAGAATAGAAAGAATAAAACACAAGACTGAACGAGATTATGCTTCTTTTATTATTGGAGTGCCAGAAAGTCATTACGAAAGCATATGTAAGCCAGAAAGTTGGCCCGTAAATATTGAATTTTGTGAGTGGATTTGGTTTCGAAAATCACACAAACCTCAACAAACATAGAAAGTCAAACAAGAAACCAAATCAATCAATAGAGATATATTACCAAAATGTGAGAGGACTTAGAACTAAAACTCAAGACTTTTATACAGGTATTTCATCATCAAATGCAGATTTGTTTACAATTACAGAAACAGGTTGTAACCGTTCCATTGAAGACGCGGAATTAGTACCTCCGGGATACACGATTCTACGATGTGATCGAGCGGACGGTCGAAAACAAGGCGGTGCGTGTCTCGTGGCCACACCGCGATTCGAGGTGCGGCGAGTGCACGCGCCGAACAATATAAACATTGATAACCATATTTTTGAACTAGTCAGTGCTTCCGTACATTTAAGAAGTCGTTTTTTGTTTATTTTGTGTGTTATCTATATTCCACCGGGTAGTAGTGAGGACGAGTACATGTTAATGTTTCGAATTATAGAACAATTTTGTGCAAAATATAAAAAAAATATAGTTATAGGAGATTTTAACCTTTTTTCTTGTTCTGTAAATGTAATTAATTATTTTGAATACTTTCAAGCATTTTGTGGATTCACTCAGAGTAACAAAGTGATTAACTGTGACAATCGTTCATTAGACCTGGTGTTGAGTTCGTTCGAAGGTGTTGATTGTTAAGGTTAAGGGTGCGCGCGGCAGATATGAGTCTGGTGAACGTGGACAAGTACCACCCTCCGCTGGAGGTCACGGTGACCT